CAAGGCGACTTAAGATAAGCATCAAGCTGCGAAAAATGTTATAACTATTAGACACAAAGCAAGTGACTGAAAAAAGGGAGAGGAGAGTGAAGGGAAGGGAATATATAAAGGAAAAAAGCGGGCTAAAATCCCAGTTTGTAACCCAAAAGCAGAGAATTTTTATGACTCTGTGTAGTTTGCACCTTAAATAAACTGTTTGATTTGACCAAAACACATCGGTATTTATACATTCCCTATACATTTCCACACATTATCTGCTTTATATATATATATCTCTATATATATAGGCGATTCGTGGTTTATTCGCATAAAAAATAATAATAATATTTATGTGTTGATCGCATGAAATGTGCTGTATAAATTTATCCAAGCTCCAGTTCAGTGCATTTACTTTCTTTTTATGGTCATAAAAACCAAAAGGAAAAGAAAAAAAAATTGTGGGGGGAAGGGATGGGCAGGTGCCGAGTGAAGAAGAGATTCTGGGGGCTTCGTTCCGTGTGCGTTTATTGCAAACTGTCACAATATTTCGGAGAAAGCGAACGATGCCTAAGAAAAATTGACAGGAAATAGTAAATGGAAATGTGAATGTCGAATACGTCTTCGTGATTTGAAGCGAGGAGAAGAAGTCTGTGGGTCCTTTGACCCAGAAGTCAGAACCCAGAAGAAGCTGTTGGGAAATTTCATTCGCCAGCGAACCGATAAAAATGATGATAGAATCCTAAATTCATGGAAATGTGCCAGCGCACCCGGAGTTTCAGTTTCAGATTCAGTTTCTTGCTGGCGACACAATATCTGCGGTAACGGTAACCCCAATCTACCAAACTCCCAATCCTCCCAATCCTCCCGCATCCACACAAAAAGGTCATCGAACGCATCCACGTTGGTAATCCGTTTTGGGATACACGGTTACGGTTACGGTTGCTGTTTCCCATATCAACGTTTGTGGTCAGCGGAATTTTGCGTGGCAAAGATTTACATTTATACCTAGGCTAATAAAATAAATGCAAGCATATATTGCCAATTCGCGCCATAAAATCATACATTATTTAATCAGCTTTGCTCGGGGGAAAGAGTTGATTTAACCATGCACACTAGTTCCGTTGGATTGGTGGCAAAGAAATACAAAATATAAAAGTGAAAATATCAAAAGCAATTTAAATTTTTGCAAAACAAAAAAATGTGAATGAATTTTGAAAAGAAAATAAAAAGTTTTTAACAGCTTAAGGCTCAATATTCAAGCAAACAAAATCACTCTAAATTTTAGTTACATTTTTCGTTTTGACAGCAATTTTGTTAGCATAAATACAGAGCGCAAAGGAAGCGGCTTAAAAAAATATATTTTTTTATAGCCTTTAGAAATGGATCACAATTTGTAATTACAAATTTATTTTAATAGACTAACATTGTTGTTAGAACACAAAGTTACTTTCATATTTGCATGATAAAACCTTGGTTTTTGATTTATTATTTTTTACAAGTTACGTATTAAATCTGTAACTATATTCTATAAACCATACATAATAGTATTGAAATATATATAATATTTTCTATGTATTATATCTGAGCCATATAATATATATAATATTTTTTATGTATTATATCTGAGTCCTATAATATATATAACATTTTCTAAATATTATATAATATTTTCTATATATTATATCCGAGTAAAAACAAAAATCCTTTCTGAATAGCAGTTAGGGTATCTCCGCGTCGCAAGCACTCGACTTAAGTCTTCGTTTCTTACTTGTAAGTGAGAGAGTCCTTAGGTTTCGTACCGGAATCTGGCAACTTGTCTCCGGAGATGGGTAACCAAACCGGTGGAAGTCGATGGCACTTGGATGGAGGAAGGGAATGGAGAGGGAAACCGAAACTGAGGCTGATGATGGTGTTGCTGCTTCTTCTGCTGCTGCTGCTGTGACAAACTGGAGTTGGTGTATGCGTTTTGTGTTCAAAAATAAACGGAAGCCATAATAATGAGATTTATCTTCAGATTCTTCAACTGTCCAACCTGCCGCCTCTATCTATATGTGTATGGCACCCCATACAAAATGGCACTTTCAGAGGAGCAAGCACACATCGTCAAAAACGTATGTACCATCATTTGGGATGCCCAGAAGGGGATGCGAAAAAGCGAAAAAAAAAAGAGACCAAGAGATTGTGCGGATGGAGTTGGGTTAGCAACATAGCATCTGCCTATTATAATTTTGTGCGCATAAAACTCAAATATTTCTGTTTTGCCACCAGAACAAAAAAAAAAAAGGAAAACCAATATACAAAATTTAACATATGTATGTACGATGCGAGTGAGTTTTTTAAGAGCCCACAAAATTGAGGGTCAAATAGACTTGAAGGAATTTAATATAGCCATTCGAAGGGCTTTATATTTGAAAAGAATAATAAACACAGTTAATGCTATTGTGAATCGATTCTTTTCGATTAAATTTTACAGAAAAAAATCGATTATATCGATTTATTATCAAAAACCAAACAAAAACTAAAAAAAAGATAGGAAACAGATTTAAAATTTATTAAATAAAATATTTTCGATTAATTACATTTGTCCAATCGCAATCGAAGGAAATTCCCAAAAACATCGATACACCTCTAGTTGACACACTAAATTTGAACAGTGTTTCAAATCCAATTGCAAGTCTCTTTCTAATTGTTCTTGACATCTATTTGCTTGGTATTTCTTTCACGTGCTCGCGCATAGCTAATTATGTTTCGTCTGGGTCTGGATTGTGTCAATAAAATGTTAATGAAATTTACTCACTGAAAGTATTAACTTTTTCACGGGTTTCGGAGAGTGCTTCTTTTTCGGGGGTTTTTAAGGGGGTTAGTTCAGAGGTTCAGAGGTTCTAATGGTCAATGGCCAATCGAGAGGGTATTTCTAATTTCCTGAATTCCCTATTACCCCACTCCTCATTCCCCTTACTTCTCTTTGGCAAACATTACATTTGATTGTTATTTTTCTCAGCGCCAAGTGCCTAAACAGAAAACAGAAATCCAAAGCAGAGAGCAGCAGGCCTACAAGAACAAAAATTCAAAACTGGAAAAAAAAAAAAACAAAAGGCAGAGCGTTTGCGGAACAAAACAAAAGAAATGACTCCCGTTGTTTGGACTGCATACAAATTTCGCATTAGCCCCGGCAACAATTTCTCCAGGGGTAATGGAGTTCCGCTTTCATCTGGCTCCTTTTTGTAATGGCCCACATATATACTTCAATATATGTATGTATATATATTGGGATGGTGTGGGTGGTGAACGAAGGGGAGGCTGCTGGGCCGGCAGACGTTCATTTACACATCCATTCGACTCTCATTCATACTTCAATTTGGTTTGGACTCTTGTATAAAATTTCATTAATTTCCAATCGCCTGGCGCGGTTTGTATTATTATTATGAGCTGGGAGAGAGAGAGATGTGAATGGGAAACCACCTCTTCGATATGGTTCTTTTTTTTTGTTGTATGTATACAATATATATACAACAATATAGTGGAATGTGCAGCCATCCACCCCCGAAGGCCACTCACCCTAACGGAGACATCTTGACGACGCATTTTGGTCTGTTTCGGTTTCTGTTCCCCATACATCGCAGTACTCAATGTGCAGTATTTCTGAATACAATACAATATAAGGCGAAGGCGATGGCTATGGCGTTGGCGAGTATTTTCAACCCTATAAAGTCCATACAATTCAATTGTACAATTTCGTTTTTATATGCATGGAAAATTGCTTCCTTCTGTTTTCAGTTCCCATGCTTTAATATTTTAGTATGATATGTTAGGATCGTATATGGTATGTTCCCTACTTGCTATCAGAAAATTAAATTAGTCATACTATACATAATTTGTTTATGATTTACAGGCCTGAGAAATTCTGTTATATAAGATAACTTTTTCAGAACCCTAACTATCGAAAATATCGATAATTATCTTTATCGGAAACATCCTTGGCCTTTATTATAAATATTACTATAATATTTTTATAATATAATATTATTATAATTATTTTAGCTTTGACTTATTTTTTCTATAAAAACATCGATATTATCGATACTTTAAATATCGATATTTTTAAGGTTACTCCTTAAACCCAACTTTTAGCCCAAAAGTAACTTTATTTTTCATACATTTCGCACTGCGTTTCCGAGTCAATTACATTCAAGGTATGAGTGTGTGTTGGACTGAATGATTAAGGGGAGGGTTTAATCCTTGCCATCTGTCCCCATCATCCACAGTTGATTATTTTTTCACCCACGGGTTTTGCCCCTTTAAGGAAGACATATGACAACACATACATATTGTAATTTTTCTTCTCTGTTTAATTTCGGGGGGTCGTCTTTATGCTACCACTTTGGCACACCTAACACCCCACATCCTCCCTCAGTCATTTCCTTTCCCCGTTCTCTTAGTTTTTCCCAGCCAGCGGGTGTATGCCATTAAAAAAAAGCGTGGGGTTTTTAGAAACGTTTTTGGCTCTTAAGAAGCTAAAGTCTCCTCACGACTTGATCCGAAACGAAACCCCCATCTCCCCATCTCCCACAAAGTGTTCTTTGCTTGTTGCTCTTGCTACAAAGTCTCATCCTAGCCTCCTAGCTCCTGGCTTTCGACCTTGTTTTAAACAACATTTTCGTAGCCACTTGCCTAGCTCTCCGACCGTTCAATAATGCCCATTTGGCAGGCACATCACGTAATTCTAATTTAAAAATTACAAGCCTTGCTTGGCAGCCGGTAGTATCATGCGTTTGATAAGGCCGTGTCACATATGCATGTATGTACTTTTGCCTATATATAAACTACTTGGATTAGCGCCGTTTATTGGCGGGGAAACACACGGTAAGTTTGCTATAATTACCTAGTTTGAAAACTATCTTAAAAATATATTTTAATAGATTTTTGATTGAATTAATTAATTTGAGTTTATCGAATCAATATTTTCAAAATATCGAAAATATCGATTATTTTCTAGAATTAATATTTTAAAAAATATTTACCTTATTAATGTTGGAGCAGCTCAGCATTTCAAGTAGTAATATAGTTTTTTATTTAATTCCAATCATTAAGCAAACAACTTATGACATCGACGATAGCCTGAAAAAATAAATATATAGTAAGTATATTTGTTTAAACATAAATCATGAAAATATTACAAATATTATTATATTTTTTATGGTGCATAAACCACTTTTTTTAACATACACTTATTAAACACTTTACATAATTAACCATTAACCATTAGAATCCGCAGATTAGCTTGGCATAAAAGGCGCTATTTAGCTTTTTAGCGCGCTTTCGAACTCCAAAACCAAAAGGCGTATCCTCATTTCACGCAGTGCACTCATGAGAGCACTTAAAGTCCTTGGGTGCACTTCTTTCGGTAATGTACCGGATGCTAAGCCTTAATTAGAACGCAAGGTATTTTTGTGCCTTTTTTTTTTCTTTTTTGGTACTCGCGAATTCAATTAGTTTCGAGTAACTAACGATTTTTTAAAAGTTCGGTGGTGTTGCCTGCGGGTAACAGAGCATAAACAAAAACAAAAATAACTGAAGCCAAAATCATAGGAAAATTCATGGTTAGTTTGCACATGAAAACGCTCTGAGAACTCTAAGTGCATTTATGCTGTATTTGATTGCGGTTAATTACTTGTATCTTAGTAATAACTTTATACATTGTTTATTAATTGTACAAATATAATCAACCGCAAACTTGTAGACCCTTTTAATTGAATTGAATTAATTTGAAAGCAAAATTGGATGCTATTTAATATTGACATTCCGTGCCTAAGTGAATAATTTATTAAATTTTTTTTTACAGCTCCTACACGATTAGACATAAATTACAGAAAAGTGACTTGCAATTGACGAAATGAGTATTTTTATCGTGACACTCCGTCATCGTGTGTGCTTATAAGTATTATCACATGTCCGTAGGTCTCTATTATACACCCCACCTATTAAACACCGCTTCCGTAGACTTTTTTAACTTTGTTGAGTCGAGTTCTGCGATGATGAGATTTGGCTGAGATGGGCAGAGATGAGTTAAATGAGAGCTGACGAACGGGGGCAAAAAAAAAATTAAATTTCACTTAAATCTTTCTTTCAATTAAAAGTTTTAATTGATTTTCCGTATATTCATGCACACATGCACATATTGTGGGTGCGTGTCCAACAGTGCGTGTGTGTGTGTGAGTAGGTGGGTGGGTTGGCGCATAAAGGAGTTCGCGCTTACCTGCTGTCGGTAATTAATAATAAATATACGAATCGAGCGTGAGAAAAGTTAGTTTTAAGGCAGTTTTTTTCATATTTGATTTAAGCAACTTCTTAATAATAGCCTCGGCGTGGGTGTTTTGATTTTAGTCAGGCGTTTTCGGGCCAAAGTTTCTTAATCTCAAAGTGCTGAAAGATTAATTCAAATCAAAGCACTTGAAAAAATATTAACTTTTTGATAGGTACAAAAAAAAATTTGTTCTTACTAAATTAAAATTTTGTAATTAATACTCAGAAAAGGTTTATACCACATTTGGTCTACAACTTGGACAAAATTTTATAAATCTATAAGTTTATCTAACAAGTTGACTTCTTTGCAAACATTTTTTAAGTGCAATGGGAAAAAATGGATAATCGTTGCTAAGAATAAGAGACTTCGATTTTTCATGTTTTGTGTTAAATCAAATATTTTCATTTTCTTATTGTTTGCCATCGCACTGAAGTCTCCACAAGTTTTTCACACTGCACTCAAACATGTTTCATCGAACTTCAAGTCAAGCTGCACCTCCGAATCGAACTTTAGCTCGAACTGCAACCGGGTTTGACCTGATCACCTAAGCGAAGTCGGCGTAAAAAAAAGAGAGACGGCGAGAGCATAAAGTGTCGAGAGCGAATGGAGGGCACAAAAGGAGTAAACAATGATGAAGAACGAACACGAACGCCAGCACAAAGGAGAGCGAAGAACTGAAACTTATGAACATTGGAGAAGTAAGAAGAAGAAGTGAGTGGCGTAGGCGCAAAAGGAAAATAAAACTCGCAAAACGAGCACTACAAAGAAAAAAAAACATTTATGAAGCCGAAATAATGCAAAAACCACATAAAAGCAGGGTAGCGGGATTTCAAAAGCAAACAATGACGTTTCAAGGTAAATATCCATACTATAGATAGATAATGCAGTTGTGGGGAAACCCCCCTTCTTTTCCACAATTTAGAATCAACAACCAAGTAAATGAAAAGCTTTCATAAAAAGTCAATTTTTTCCCATACTGACTGTGTTATCTATTCATTTTATTTTCCTACCGACTTATCTCCCCTTATTGAGCTTCAACTGCAACGTTTATTTATAACCCAGATATCATTTTTACAACCGAAAGAATGTGGATACTGACTAAGAAAATTGCAAACTTATTGTATATACCTATATTATATATATTTTAAAACAACCCCGCAACGTAACAATTTTCATTTTCAGGTCCCAATATTTATGATTTCATATTTGGGTCATAGTAAAATGGCAATAGTTGTAAATTGTTCAATTAGGGGTGCCAATTTGGGCGCTCTTTTGATTTTTTTGTACACCAATTTACTGTACACCAACGTGATTTATTAAACTGAAAGCCTCACGGGTTCCACAAAATTGGTATAGTCAAAAACAACCTTTAAAATCGATTCTTTGCAACATTTTATAGCGAAACCTATTTAAGAGATATTTTTATTCGTTTAGATTTTGTATTATTTATTTTACTTTATCCCAGATTTTTGCAAGCCACTGTAAAATATGGAAAATAAAATAATTTAAATTTCATTGGGAAAACAACTTTTTTTTTGTAGGGTGGCTCATTGTTTTCATGAAACACGTCCTTTTCATTTTCACACATCTCTTTTTTTAGGCCAGACATAATGCGTCAACATATAATCGACGATGTGCACGTTTCGCGCATTATTTTCGATTTGAAGTGATTCATGTTTAAAAGGGTCCCGGTCCCATAAATGCCTAAACTGGGAAAACTTGTCAATCGCACCCTGTTTATCAAATACAAAAACTTCTCCTGCACATTTTGCAATTCGGGAGATGCTATCTCAGGAAATGTCCCCTTTTTTCGCAAGTATTTTTGGGGATGATACTGGTTTCGGACTATTATTATCGCGTGGTTTCGATCAGAAGAAGGAAGCCGAAAGAAGCTGGTCAAGCTGTACACCCTACTACCACTACTCTCTTCGGTGTCTTAATGCCAAAAGCAAACAGTAACACAGTAACCACAAACACAGGCAATCCTTCATCATCTCCATCTCAGTCTCAGTTTAAACTTGAGTTTTCTCAGCCTCAGCTTCTTTCTTTTCTTTGTGCTTGTTTGGAGCCAAGTTTATTTGAAACTCCATCGACTCCATCCACTCTATCCACTCCGTCCACCATCCGCATCCAGAGAGCTCTGCCTTTCCGCTTGGGCCATAATTGTTGTCAAAACGAGTTTTCGATGAAGTGGTTGCTCTGGTTGTTGCTGTTATTGTTGTTGTTACTGTTTGTTCCTCATGTTGTTACTGTTGTTATTGTTGTTGCTGACGAAGTGACCGTTGCTGTTTTTGCTGTAATCGCTGCCTACGTTAGTCTTAACTACAGCTAACCCAAACTCCAAACTCTAAAATCTAACTCAACGCGAACTCGAACTCGAGCATGGAGAAAACCAGAAAGAACGTACAAATTAAATGTCCCGGCTATTATATACCCACTATTTACAATCTTAAGATATAAAATAATAATAAAAGGATACAACCAGAAACCAGGATCCTTAGCAGTAAACTATTGAAAGATAAGATCTATAATAAATTAATCAAATTATATGTACCGATTATAATATACCCACTATTTATTAAAAAAATTGTTTTTCAAAAATCTGAAATCAAAAATATTTTCTTCTTGGAGTCAAGGGTATAAAAAGAAACCAAAAACCAGTAAGAAAGTACAAATTGAATGTCCCGACTATAATATACCCACTCTTTATTAAAAAAATTGTTTTCCAAAAATATAATATCAACGATATTTTGCTCTTGGAGTCAAGGATACAAAAAGAAAGCAAGATCCTATCCTTTTGAAAAATGATTTTAGATCTTTTGTACTAGGTAAAATAAAGTATTGTATCTAAACCTCAATCGTTTAGATGTGGTTTTAAAAACTGCATGGGGTATACCTGTAGGTACTCGAACCAAGCAATAAAACCACCTCAAGCAAGTTAGGTAGTTACACCCGAAAGTACAAGTTGTTTTCGTTTTAGGCGAATTACGAAAACAAGGTCATGCACGTTTTCAGGTCTCAAAATACAAATAAATACAAATATTCAATTTTGTTTGATCGTCAATAGTCTATCATACTTTGATTTAAGAATGGGAATGACCTCTTTTTTCTGATGAAAGACCATATTAAGCCGCTTTATCATTGCCCTGAGAAACACTGCAGTATTTTGCAAAAAGGCAAAGGCACTTGGTGTTGTTATCCCCTCTTGGGCCAGAGAACAATGACTCTGCCGACTGAAAATCTAAATGGTTTTCATATTCTGTTAGAGCTTAGAGCTTATGTGTGAAATGGAATTATATTTGGTTGCAGGCGCTGGATGCATCGTCTACCCTCAACTTTGGGTGACTTTTGGGTTGACTTGCGTCCAATTCTCATTCAATGACCTTAAAGGTAAAGACTTCTTTGATATTTTCCGTTTGTCCCTTGAGTTGTCTACAAATCTTCGATAACGCATGGGTCAAGTGAGTGGGTCGGTCGGCGATTCAAAAAACGCGGTAGAGATACAAACGAGCGATGTTTGAACAATGGCCGACGACTTCGGGGGTCATTGTCTTGATAAAATCGAATATTATCTCCTGCATCAGCACCCAGAAGTTTTTTTACTTTAAAATGAGGAGTTTTAATTCCCGTCGGATTTTTACAGCCAAGCAAAATTACCACCAGGCAGCCAAACACAACACAAACTTTGACTCGTCAACAAATATAACAGTAATTGGAAAAGATAATCCCTATTCAAGTCCTCTCTGGCCAATTTTTCTTCAAATTTTACGATAATCCCTATTTAAGTCTTCTTTGGTTAATGCGAAACGACGTTTCTTATTTTAGCGAACGTCTTTTGAGAGGTATTTTGAGATTTTAAAAGCCTCGTGAGATCCTAAATTTTTCAAATTTAATTTAATTCAGCTTGAAACGGTTTTCATACAAAACATCCATCAGAAATAAAGTTTTTCATTGAAAAACTTTGTATTTCGAGATGGAATTTTCAAAATTAATTTAATTCAGCTTGAAAAGATTTTCATAAAAAGTTATTATAAAAATATAGTGATCCATGCATATTAGAATTCTTTAAAATGGTATAGTATTATTTTTAAAATATCCTATATGCCTTTTTTACAGATCAGAAATTGAGTTTTCCATTGAAATACTTGGTATTCCGTGAGTTGGAATGGAAACCAAATCTATTTCCGTCGCTTTTCCATTTTCCATTTGGGAAGAGAATGGAAATTTATTGAATGAAAAATTCCGTTCCTGTCATATTCCATTTAAACTGTAGTAAATAGAGGAGGCCATAAAATATCATATCAAATCATTAAAACTTCGAGCCATAAAATGATGATTGAATATGCGGATTTGTGGTCTAAAAATAAGGGTATACCATGGTTTCCATGGTCTTATTGGCACCCTCCTGTCTTTAGGGGTATTACTTTCTAGGCCGCAATATTGCCATCTCCTGGATTTTCCTGCTAATCGCTTTGTTTTTTGTGTTTAGCTTTTCTTTTCTCCCTCTTCCTTTGGCTGCAGTTCTTCTTCGCATTCGCCCAAAGGATAAATTCATGAAAACAAAAAAGTGCCGCGCCAAAAACATCAATTCACACGCACACGCACGTACCAATACCAGGGCAATCGCACCCGCAGACACACGCACACACACGGACAGTTCCGCTGGCGACTAACTGTACTGCATGATGGCCAACCAAGAAAAAAAACAAAGTAAAGTAAAAAAAAAAAACCAGGGCTTTTCTGCTCTCAGTTAAGTTTTCCCTTCTGTTTTATGTTTTCTGTCTTCTAATTTCTGTTGTTCGTGCTTTGTCCTCTTCTTGTTTGTTTGTTTGTTTGTTTTTCTTTCTTTCTTAATTTTTGGCAACGTCAATTACACGCGAAACTTCTTGCCTGAGTGCTTAACCCCTAGCAGGTCAGGTAGCAGGTAGGCATCCAGGGTTAACTCTCTATGGAAATATTATTTACAAAAAAAAATGCACTTGAAACATGCATATTAGCCACCAATCGGAAAATATTAAGGAGCAAGTATAATAATCATGTCATACAAAGATCAAATATAAAAGATCACTATACCATATCAAATTATTTTTTCTTTTCATATCTAAATCATATAATTAACCCTACAAAAATTATATTTAATTTCAAATTCTTTCTTATTTTGATATCGAAATTGAAAAATAGTGATATTATAGTTGTCATTTTGAAATTGATCTTATTTTCCTCAATTTAATCTTAATTCATATCAATTCCGTAGATCATATATAAGAACACTATTCCAAAATGATATGCAATATTCACATTAAATCCGTATAAAGATCTTAAATAAGATCACCGTACTAAAATGATATTTAATATTAAATTCTTGTTTATTTTAAAAATCGAAATTTTAAAAAATATTGATATTAAGGTTCAAAATATTGATATATTATTTTTTTGGGAGGCTCGAAAGACTGAAAAATTGAAAAATTCCCACTGATCAGTGAAGGAATTTTACGTTTTCTTTAACCGATCGGATCGAATTGAGCAGATGATGTTATTTTTTTTTGCCTTTTTGGGGTTAATGGCTTCGGTCTGCAGACCGCACTTTACATACATACATATGTACATTTGTACGTAATATATATATATATTTATGTATTTTTTGCTGCGTTGCCCCTTCTTTCGTTTTATTTTCATCTCCTTTCTTTTCTTTCTCTCGGAAACGCAAATGATGCAGTCCGTTTGATTCATTTGACATTACAATTGCTGCAGCTGCACACTGTTGTTGTTGTTGTTGTTGGCGATGCTGCATTTTGCTTCAGTTTCAGTTTCCATGTTTTTCCAAGCACAAACCACGCGCTGTTGTTGTTCTCGTTGTTGTTGCTGCTTTTGCAGGTAAGTCGAAGATGAGTGTCGAACCGGTTCAACTGGTACACAAACACAGGCACAACAACAACAATTGCACTCTCTTTCTCTCTCTTGCACACTGACACTCCGCACTCCACTCACTTAATGCACTATCTCTCTCTCTCACTATCTCTCTCTTTACCTCTCGCTTTGTGTTGATCCGCTCTGCTCTCCGCTATTCCCAAATTTAATCGCCTTTTGGCGAGGGGGGAGTTGAAGAAGAAGAAGTAAAGGTGGTTTGCTTGGGGTTGGGGGGTTTTTTTTTGGGGTGGGGGTGGTGGTACTCTATTCACGCTCACTTGCAAGTAACCGAAAAAAAAGAATATGAGTAATGCACTCAACAGCCGCGTGTTTTTTTTTTTTTTTTCCCGCGGTGAAAAACACACTCGACGCGACGCTCGACTTCGACTTTTCGTGTTTCGTTACCCGCGACTGGCCATCAATTGGCGGCAAAGGAAAATGCAAAGGCGACGACGCGACGGCAACGGCAATTTAGCATTTCATTTCACAGCAACGAAAAAACCGCTACTGAAACGCGCGCTGGAGAAGCGACCAATTTGAAAGAGCTCCGAGCCGAGCCGCCTCGAACTGGGTTCGGGCTCGAACACGCGCGCCATACCGGCGCATGCAACAAGTTCGCGGCCAACACGTCGCCTCGGTCACTGCAAGAAAAATCGCTGAAATCGAACATTTGATCGCGCCAAAGTGGCGGAAAAGGGAAACATTGATAGCGATGAAAGCGCCACCTAGATCTAGAAATTCGGGATAGGAATTGACAATTAGAAGATCTCTGTATTTTGCGGTAATTAATAACCAACAAGTTAACAAACGGCATATATTTTTTAATGTTTATGACTCTGTAAGTTAATTACTTTAAAACGGTTGAACTATGGTTGGTTTGAATAGCTTTTTTTTTCGGTTGACTTTGCAATAACAAAGCAACTCCCAGCCGATCCGAACCGAATCGAAGCGAACTAAGCCGAGACGAGTGCAACGTGCTCGATGCAACCAAAGTGACCCATCTAACTCGGGACCGCAACTTCAGTTGATTGGATGCAACCAGTTACAACAACGAACCAACATCACTACACTGTGAGAAACAAATCGAACAAGAAGAGGATGAATAGAATAAAAAGACAGGGTTTTGGGGCAAAGGCAATAAATATTTTGAAAAAAATTGCTTAGTGGCCAAAAAAAAACTTAACAAATATCGAAAACTTTTCTTTTTTCTGAGGCTCTGACAAAAGCTTTCCATGGAGTAGCTAAAAATAACTGGTGTTAGATCAACCTATCTCAAAATATAATGATTGAAAGAATGAAATAAAATACTTTTTTGTTTTTTCATTTTTTAAACCAGCACAATTTAAAAAGCTGTAAATAATATGTGAAGACAATTAAAGAATCGGTTCATAAATTTTTTAGTTATCGTGGATTCAAAGAAACGAGATTGAAATGCGTAGCATCAGGATAAACGACTTTAAGAACAGAACTTTTAACACCTTTAAAATTATTGTTATACAACAACATAATATATATAAGATCAGTAATATAACTATACAACACTAAATGTTTTGTTTTGAGTTATGAGTACAATAATATAACACCGAGGTCCTTGGTACTTTCCTGAAGGATCTGACGAGTTTTTGTAAAAAATAAAACCATTGCAATTGTATCAAAACTATAAAAAACCAAAGATTTTTGACATATCCAATGGGCAAACCTAACCGGGATCTTTTGTGTTTTAAATATAAACTCAAAGGTTTAAAGTGTCAAAAAGGAAACGTGCAACAAATTTGAACTCCGTGTAGATATTTTACATCGTCAACGGAGTTTCTATGAAAAAATACACGCTAATTCAATGCGTAGAAATACTTCATGTAAATTGGCAACTAGCTAATTTTACCTACTCAATTCAGGTTTTAAAATTCCTTCATCAGGTTTGAACTAAGACTAAAAAAGTATAAACTAAACTATGGAATAGTACGAAATCGAATGCAATGGTAGTAATACATATTTTTCTCATTTTACAACCCAAAACAAGGTTACAAATATACCCTACAAAAATACAGATTTTTTCGGTTTCTACAGGATATTTACAGTATTAAAGGATTTTCGTGATAAAAGGAAAATGGAAAAAGCTTTCGGATGTAATGTTTTAAAATTCAGTTATATTTCAAAGTGTCATTCATGTGTAAAATGTACACTGCACTTTTATTCTGTCGTGCTTACAATAACGCTTTTTCCTTTGGCGAATACACGTAAAGTTTTATCTATTTAAAGAAAAAGTTTTACAAAGCTAAAAATATGAAAGTGTAACTTTTATTATCATTAACTTTTATTCTAACAATTATGAAAAAAAGGTTCAAAAACAAAAAGTTTAAGATGGCTTAAAAGCTCAAGCTTATGAGAATTCCGAAATTTATTTTTTGGGACAATCGGTAAAATTTCCCATCCCATAAAAGCTTTTTTTTTATAGATATGCCTAACGCAAAAATCAGGACAACGTTTATTTTATGGCAAATGTTGTCCAAATGGAAAAATCAGGACAACATATATTTTATGGTTATAGCTTTGCGTGGTGAAAGCCCCGAAGAAATGCATAATTATGGTACCATTGCTAGAAAGTGTGTTGTGAATTCCTGCGCGCAATGAAAGTATAAAAGCTTTCAGGGTAAGAAAGTTTTTGTGGAAGATGTGTGTGTGGCATTTTTAATTTTTTTTGTGGATTCCTGGGACACTAGGAAGTGCGTATAACAGCTTTCAGGGGTAAATATTTTGGTACATTAGTGGTACACTCAGATAAAAAATATTTGAATACAAAATTTGTACAAAAAGTTAGGGGTCAAATTTTTGTAATTTATAGAATATCTAGGGATCTCAGATAAAATAATCTTTATTTCAAAAATGGAATTTTTAATTTAATTAATTGAAATTTAATTAAATTTTATATTTATATTTATATGTTTCGACGTCGGATTACAGCTATAAAAATTATAATAGATGTCGCACCTTTTTCAGTTTTTTTTGTTTTTTTTACATTTCTTACTAAATGAACAACATTTTGTTAAATTATTTTGTTTAAATATACATTAAAGTATCTTTTAAAAATAAAGAACAAAACGATTTTACAAAAATTTCTTTAGTAAAAAAAATTAAACCTTTACAACTTAAAAAGTAAAATATTTGTTATATCTTTTCTGTTATATTATCCAAATATTGGATTATACTGAACCCTTTTTTCTCTGTCTGTACCGGTACCCTTGAAGCATTGACAGAAAGTTGACTTGCCACCTGAACGAAATATGAATGATGTTAGAGGAGCTCGTAGTTCCCCTCTCTTTGGGTTACCTGAACTGAAATGACTTGACCTTTTTCAATTGGTTTTTATTTCCCATTTCCTACAAATTGATATGTCTAACTAGCAACAGATATTTTGCTTGTCCTATTCCATTGGCTTTTCATTTTACTTCGTTACATTTCCATTTCCATTTCCACTTCCATTGGCGGCATTTGGGGCAGAGGATGACAACAAACAAAACGGGAGGACACCGAAGCCACGTGGTGTCCTCGCCACTGCATATCCTTAACATTTATCAACAAGGCGTATACGTACTGTGGCAGCTTATTTGTTTACTTTTCATAACATTCCGTTGCGGCAAGTATTTCGAAATTTTAACCAACATCAACAGACGACGAAGGGGACTCGACGAGTCTCGACTCGATACGAAGGATACGAAGGATACTACCCCGAATATAGAGGCCGAGGGAGCCCTGTTAGCTCTCGTTTAAGGTCACAGGACCGGCACGATGATACGATGATACGATGATACGATGATGCGGGGCCACGTGTCGCTTCGTAGGAGTCTCAGCTCAGCCACAGTCAGTTGCAGTTGGAAAGTCGAGCACGTTTCTCGTGCTGTCGCCTCGCCTCGCATCGCCATCGAAATTGCCATATCGCCATCGCCTCTACTGTAGTTGAAAATAATGTAGAAATGCTGTTGTGTTAGCGCTGCGCTGAGCTGGGATATATTTTTTCGCTTTTGCGGTATCGGACGGACGCCTTTTGCTGCTATCACAGTAGTCAGTCGAGTGCGTGGTCGTGAACGAAACGGTCGAGTTGAAAGTCGCTCCTACTCCGCCACTCTGTGTGCCGCACTAAAAGATACAAAAATATATTATAATATCTCCTCCTCTGCACACACACAAAAACAAAGCGCGCAAGAAATGTGCGAAATTATTATGATATGGAATCAGTGAATGAATCAGTGACATGAGAAATCCTCATCAATGATCACATCGTTTCGTTACTTTTTTTAAAGGTGCACCACCACATATATATGCCTATGTATATTTTTTTTAGTTGTTTGTTCAAGTTTTCGTGCCTCCCAAATGTCGTTTTTTGGTAAAGTGTAAAGTTCCTTGAGCAAGCGGTCAGTAATATGATAAAGATAAACACTTACCGATATAGCGTATAAATAGTGAAACCAATCCAATCCATTTGCCTCTTCTCCACATAACATATATCCTTTTACAATCCATTTTAGAGAAATAATCATTAGTGTTTTTGAAGCAGACTTTTTGCGGGCCAAGCTTTTTGCGGGCTCATCTCGAATATCTCGGCATCGGAACAACGACGACAACTTGGTCTCAAGTGCTATGAAATAACAAACAAAAATATTTAGTTTCAATGGAGCTATACAGCATTTTCGAGTCTATGCTATTATTATGACTGGTGAGTACTGATGATAATAGGACTGAAATATCCATGAAATTATCAAAGTTATTCTTAGAACAAATATTAAATACAGGAATTATTTTTTCATTTTATTATAATATTTTTAGGGCTGTATTTTTCTTCATAAAAAATATATTATTATAAAATGTTTTGTCATCGAAAGCTTAGTTTTAGTATTTAATACTAGCTTTAAATTTCAAAAACAACAAAATTAAATGAAGTGTAAAATTCCAATCTGCCAAAAAAAATTGTTACGAATAACGCAATGCCCGCCAAGACAATTAGATGTCTTTATGTTTAGATAAAAATAAACATTTTCTCTAAAAGAATATTAATAGATTAATCAACCAAAATCCAATATCGGGGGGAAATAATAATCGTTAACAATAATAATCAAAAGTTGGCCATGAAGTGAACGACCTACATTATGTTTAAAAGTTTCTAAAATATCTGACAAAAATATCAGATTTTATATATTTTAAATGACTAACAATATTCGATATATTTTTCTTATAACTGCGAGGCTATAAAAACTTGACCCCAACAATTTTTTTGGGCAACAAAATATTATTATATTTATTTGCCAATTTAGTTCGGATTTAAAGTCAACGGTCAGAAAAATCAAATGTCAGATGTTTTTGGGGCACCCTGATAAAGAGAAAACGCTTTCTTCTACCTGTTACTTTTGCTATTGGCATAAAAACGTGTATAAAAACACTAAAGCTCAAGTGTATTTCTTGGCTGTTATCCATTTGCAGAGCACAAAAACAAACAATAAAGTCAGCTTCGCGCCATCTTTACTACGAAATGTGAAATTACAGTACATATGAATAAACCAATGTCGAAATTGATACTTTGAAAAACAAGAAAGGAAACCCCTTTCAACGTAGAATGAATGAAATATATATTTGTTTATTTTCTGGGTGTCCCAAAAATTTAAATTTAATTAATTTAAATGAGGAAGTTCTATTTTTAAATTGAATTGAAGTTTTTTTTTAATTTTTGAACGGCGAGTTTTTCTACTTTAATGTGCAAGTGAAAGACAATTACAAATAATGAGTCTAAGGTAAGTTGATAGAAGAAATGTATTTTAGTTTTAGCATTTTTTATTTGTTTTGCTTCAGACCTTCTTATTTTGGTTAAGAAAACATATTACCGTCTTTCTTACTCTTTAATTTAGAATCTTAAAACTAAAAATCCGATCAAGTTAAAAAAGAACCTAATTTTATTAGCTTTATATTAACACATTTTTATGTTAATAATTGGAATAACAATAAAAGGAACCAGAGAATTGTATTATATTTATAAAATGTATAAATTTTGATTATTATAATTAATGAATGAATTAAAGTCTTATTAATTCAACTGCAACATTGTTAAATATTTATTAGGCACAATGAATTGAAAAATATAATGTCTATTTTGTAGACCAGACCATTATTCCAGAAATGTAAACTGAGAAAATTCCCATAAAATTTGCATAATTTTGCATACATTTTTTGAATAATTTTTGAACCCACTTTATTTTTTCATAAAATATTAAATGAAGAGTGCATTTTGAATGAAGATCCTTTTTTTTATTGAATTAATAAAACATTCACTTTTATTTCATTGAGTCCAAAAACGTCCCAAAAACATTTTTGTCTGCCTCATCAAATATTACGAATTCCATGAAAATGTAAGTAGATGTAGGCAATTTTATTTGAAATTGATACAACACATTGCTCATTTCCAGGGGAAAAACGAAAAAACAAGACTGCGTCTTCTATTTTATTCAGCAAAATCTTAAATCCAGTAGAAATCGCAAAGGGATTTAACCGAGGGGACTGGGTTAGGGTTATTATTGTCGCAATCGCTTGGGAACAGCTGGTCAGAGACCCAAATTTTAATGGACCTCCCAACTGGATTTCTAACGCCCGTAGGCAATGGGAGATTTTAAGAATGTCATAAAATAAATTTAGCACGTAATAATTGGCTATTTAATACAGAGATATCATTAAATTTTTTAACAGCCAATTAAAAAATGTTTTTGCTTTATATGCTTATAATACGTATAACACGATTTAAATTCATTTTTATTGATTTATTTATATAGTAAAATACTTTGAGACAACTTGGTAAAATTGTTTTGAAAGTAAAACTGTGAAATCTATATTATATCTAAAAAATATATCCTGAGCAATGGTATAACAACTTTAGGGGAAAATAAAGATTTGATTTAATGGGAGCATTGGAGTCACTTTGCTGAGCCAAACGAACGAGAACTTATTGTCCTGGCATTGATAAATTATATTTTCTGCTTACCAACATTTACCTAATTAATCTTCTTATTTAATGCCTGCCATAACTCAGCCCGTATTATTAGATGCTTGATTAGAATGGCCTCTGAATATGCTGGTTTACTGCATACATAATTTTCCGCAATTGTCGCTTGACAACTTTTGCACTTATAAGAATGTAATCAATTAGGTACAATTTGTGTTATACTGAACTAGTAATATCTACAAAGATATCTATAAAATATCATCACTGAAATAAAAAAACATGTGCGTTTTTTTTCAGGTTAAAACATTTTTTCAAGAATGCGCGAAATAAATTGGCGGGCAATTTAAATAAAAATTGCATGCAAGTATCGATTGCATCCAAAGTAAGTTAAATAAAATTATATTAAAAATAATAAAATTGGTTTTTGTTTTGAAAAAAAAAATTATAATGCTCTATCTTTAATTTAATAAATGGTAAATAATGATTTTGGGACTATAAATTCCGAGCTTACATATTCCTAAGTTGTATGGAAGTGCTAATTAGCATATTTCTTTTCAGATATGGATGGAGAAAAAAAGAAAACAGGACAACAGGATGTGGCCTAAATATGACGAGGAATTCGTATTAAAAAATCGCGGCACTTAAAGCTACTTTAGCAAAAATAGTCAACACTAAAAAATGTCTAGAATTTTCAATAAAAGTTTGAAATCATATCATATACTATTTACCGTATTTGTCAACTGTTTTGCAACTTTAACATGAACGAATTTGGGATATCATTTCATAATCCTTTTCACTGTCAATATTTTCGTGGTCTGATAAGAATTCTTAGAGAAAAATAAATCTACTAAATGATAGTCGTAGTCCAAATTTAAGACCTATTTTTCATTGCCAATATTCTGTTTAGTAGAATAATATATTTTATTTTCTACTAATGGCAGTTTGTAAATTGTTTATATTTAATTGCAGCCTGTCAAATATGGATCGCTATAAGAATAAATTCCGTTATCGTTGCAAATAAGAAAGGAAACCACAATCAGAGCTAAGGAAACCAATTGCGAGGCGAAAAACAATATGAGAAATCAATCAAAAACCGAAAGCTAACGAAAAGCATTAGATTAGAAAGAAAGAAAGTCAGTGGCTCCAAAAAGTTGGTAACAAGTAGCCGAAGTAATTCGAATATCGACTATAACACCAACGTACCGGAGGACAGACAACAAGCAAAATGCAAAACTATGGAAGTGAACTTAAGGGAGGCTGAGTCGTCTTACTAACTTGCTAACTGTCTGCGCGCCCAAACATCTGATTATCGGATTCGGATTCGGATTCCAAGGGTTAAGAAGTAAGATATGAAGAGGCAATCACTGAGTCGTCGGTTGGACAATCTATTCTGCTCCAGTCAGGAAACAAACATGAGCTTCCCACAGCCGCACACATTGCCGGAAGCCCCAGCAAACGGTGGTAAGATGCTGGTTTATGGCCTGGGTCTTCTAATTATGATACCGGGTGAGTGTCTCCGCGTTAATTAGATGCTTTCCTCAATTCGCAAATTCCAATTTCACTTCCAACAAGCACAGCAAAAAATCCCTAATGTTTTCCTTATTTTTACCCCCATAAATACCCTCAGCTTGTACGGCTGGACCCCATGAAAAGCGGTTGCTACACGCCCTTCTGGACAACTACAACAGCTTAGAACGTCCGGTGGTCAACGAATCCGATCCATTGCAACTGAGCTTCGGACTAACACTCATGCAGATTATCGATGTGGTAAGTAAAACTTTGTCCCAAGACCCGCGTTTACCAACTACCTACGTTTTATGATTTATAAACATTAAAATTATAGTTAATCTGTTTAAATATAAACTTCATAAAATAATATTTGATATTATAAGAAAGTTCCCATAGTTAAGATATCGTTTTTCTCTTTTCAGGATGAAAAGAACCAACTGCTAATTACGAATATTTGGTTAAAATTGGTAAGTTATTCATATGTTTACACATTGCGCATTAATTAAAAGTAAACATTAAAAATATGAAAATAAAAATTCAAATTCAAAATGTGATAATATAAGTAAATTAAAATAATATTAAAAATAAATTTAATTAAATATTTAAATTGTAAATATGCCACATGCTTGCAGCGCTGGGATAGAAACAATAATTAAATAATAATTGTAAAAATGGAAAATCTAACGTGAAAATCAAGCATCGAATTAAGAAGAATTAAGCATTTTGAATTTCTTATTATTTTCTTAGGAATGGAATGACATGAATCTTCGATGGAATTCGAGTGAATTCGGAGGTGTACGTGATCTTCGGATTCCACCACATCGCTTATGGAAACCGGATGTTCTAATGTACAATAGGTAAATAATCTATTCGAAAATACCTTTAGTGGCTTTTTTTATTCCTTGTCATCTTTTCTAGTGCGGATGAGGGATTCGATGGGACGTATGCCACAAATGTGGTGGTGCGGAACAATGGAAGCTGTCTGTACGTACCTCCAGGTATATTCAAATCTACATGCAAGATCGATATTACGTGGTTTCCATTCGACGATCAAAGATGTGAGATGAAGTTTGGTTCATGGACCTACGATGGTTTTCAAGTAACTATAAAGTTCTTTACTTAGAAGCATAAGTCATTTAAATTATACTCTTTATTTAATTAACAAAACGTATGGTGTATTTTCTTCGGCAGTTGGACTTGCAATTACAAGACGAAGCAGGAGGAGATATTTCTAGCTTTATAACAAATGGCGAATGGGACTTGTTAGGTAAGGTTTAAAATACTCTTTTAAATGTCATATGATATGATGAATATTCCACAAAAGACTAATGTCAGTTAAACATAATTTATTAATTTTCAAATTAATATTTTCTTCTCTACTACACAAATACTACACTTGTTCACAACTAAACCAAAACTCAATGCAACAAAACCAATCAAAAACCAAAACCAAAACCAATAATCAGGTGTGCCCGGTAAACGAAATGAAATCTACTATAATTGCTGCCCAGAACCTTATATTGACATAACATTCGCCATTTTGATAAGACGCAAGACACTGTACTATTTTTTCAATCTGATTGTGCCGTGCGTACTGATTGCCTCAATGGCACTGCTAGGTTTTACACTGCCACCAGATTCTGGTGAAAAGCTTTCGCTTGGTAAGTGTCGTCCAGTTAATTCTGGCCTCATTTCTGATTTCTATGCCCTTCTATGCCCTTCTATCTCTGTGTTCACGACTTACAATTAAATTAAAACTAAACTAAACTAAAATATACTGTGATTCAAGTTTAGAACGAAATGAAACTTTATTACCTATAGTAGTGACAAAGATTATGCAATTTAAAATGCTACCTTCTTTTACCTTCTTGTTTGCTTTTGTGTTCTTAGACATGCTAATGCATCTGGAGTATCGTATTGGAATTTAATGTAGATCTTTTGCATGCAACTCTGCAACTCTTTCTAGCCACCAAAACAACTGCTCAAAAGATTTCTTTCCCCATGTTCCTACTATCTTAGCTTGTTTCTCTATGCTAGTACAGCGCAAAACTTTGGGCAGTGTGATTTAGGTTATCTTGTCATTTTAGCCTTTTTATTTGCATTTTTATTGCTCGATAGCCACGTATAGATATAATATTCTTGGCAATATGTATGTGTAAGCAAAGTGAGGAAACGATTCTGATATTGAAACCTTTCAAAATCTATTATTATTATATACTTTATTTAATATTTTTCAAAGATCAAGTTATTCATATCATTTTGATATGAATAAAGATCTTATCTTGTTTTACAATATTTGTTCAAAAAATACTACATTTGGTATTTTAAAGCAGTATTTTTATAACTTTCATGAAATGATGGAATATCAAATTGATATGTTTGAATCATAAATTTCACATTAATTGGCTTTTTATTGATATGAAATAAGGTAGAATTTTTTTTCTATCTGATCAGATCTGTTTTCATCTTTCTGCTACACACACCTAAGCACGATTATTATATTTATATTTATAAATGTGTTCTGTGAGAGTATCGATAGGATTTTAAGCTTAAAGCTTGTAAATTGAATATTGCTAAGGGGTTCAGGCTTGAGGTTCAGTGCAGAAAATACGGTAGTAGTTTTTTATTGAAGGCAACAAAGAGAAGAATGTGATAATGGAAGCTAATGGAATGGAATAATCCTGGCTAATGCTAATGCTAATGGACCTGAATCGGAGCGGAATCAGCAGGATCTCACTGGTTCTTACAATAATATTTTGTTACCGTAATCGTAAATCGTAATAGTGCACGTATTTAATGTGTAAATATCATGGGAGTGACCATATACCAGAAATGACTAATGAAATTAACTTTGATCTTATTCCATGCCGCTGCTTCGTCGCTGTTTGTCGTCTTGTCATCGATATATATCGATATCGTATCTACTTATCGAACCGATCTTGTGTGACTTCCCCCCGAAATATACGAATATACCGATCGCTGCTTACTACTTTCAGGAGTTACAATTTTATTATCGCTTACAGTCTTCCTCAACATGGTGGCCGAAACAATGCCGGCGACCTCTGATGCAGTGCCCCTGCTCGGTAAGTAGATCGTGGCCCGAACTCCTGCCACCGAACCCCAAAAACCCAATCTACTACTACTACGTCTACGACTAAGTTTCTAAACTAACGCACTCTCAACTCATTCAGCAATCATCCAAGATTCTTCTTTCCGCACAGCTTTGGCGTCTCAACGTTCAATAAAAAAAAAATAAAAAAAAAAAAACAGAAACAAAAAAAAAACTTCACCAACTTTATATTTTGCCTTTCTTATCAAGAAATTCTATATATCTTTGTGAATTGGGGCACACATAAAGGGCTAAAATTTAGCTTCCCAAAATAAAGAAACCATAATCATCGTTATCCCTTTAATAAAAAAATAATAAACCCTTCCGAGCACCAGCATAAAGTACATACTCTCATACAGGCATGAATTATGTTTTCATATCAAAGTCGCATGTTGTTTTCGGCATGGTACTTCGCACTGTTGATAGGTTTTAACCAACTAGTTACATACCCGATACTAAATAATTGGGCAGGGAAACAACAGTACTTTATCGTAAGCTTTTAGTTTAAAGACTTCAAGTTTTAGTTTATCGTTTATCGAAGACGATCCAGTGGCCAACAAAGTGAAATCGATATTGTTTTCGATTATAAGAACCTGAAGTTTGCCGAATCATGGCTAAGATTATTTTGCTTAGGATTATCTTAAAATATATTAGAAGATTCCCAAGTGGTCTTTAATTTTTCGAATATTTTAGTTGAAATTACAATTTAGATTTCTTTTCATTTGTATTTGTTTTGGTTTTTTCATCACCAAATACGGTTACAAACGAGCACGACTTTAAAAGGGGTAGTTTCTTATGTTATTACACATGTATAATAATAATGAAACACAAGTAATGCTAAAAGTAAACATAATTGTGGACACACAGCTAAATACACAATGTAGATTTATTTATGGTTTCATTACGTATCCGTCTATTCATAACGTACGGACTTAAAAGGAGCTTAGTACCAATCTATTGTTGAACTATTTTCATTTTCTTTGCATGGCACCAACTCACATGTAACACATTTTACTCTACGTATTTTTCCTGCACATTTTCTCACTAAATATTACTAAATATTTTCCATTGTATACGTCTAATTACTATGCAACGTCCAAACAATCAAAGTAAAACAAGTCAAAAAAAAAAACAAATTAATAATACTAACTCAAATACACAATTTTATGAATTCAAATATTAGTTTTTACAAATTTCAAATATTTGTATAACTGTTGTATGCAGCCGAAGTAGAAATATTTTGTTCTAAAAGTCGAAAAAAAAACCTGGAAGGGAGTTTTCATTTTATGTCTGCTCTTTGAAGTCAAATCAACGGTGTTTTGTGTACTTTTTTGATTTTTGAACTTTCTTTAAATTTTTAATAAAATAATTAATTTTAATAAAACTTTCTTATACATACATACACATATGTATTTTTTTGATATATAGATTTGGTTTGGAATTTTTCAAATTAGAATTTGAGAAATTCGGTTTTGTTTATATCGTTTCAGTTTTTATTAAAAATTTTTCGTTTTGGTTTTCGCCAGTGAGATAAATATAAATCCCAAGGACCACTACCACATAATGTATGCGAAAAAATGTTCTTGTTGGCATGAAGGAACACAAATGCCCGCCTGACTTTTCCATACGTCAAGCAAATGGACTGAGGGAAATTGGTTTCTACAAAACGAAATCAATTTGACCCTTTCTTACCCTTCTAAGCCACGCAAATGCAAATACACCCCAAAAAGAAAACATAATCACTCACACGTATATTTAAATTAGTAACACAAAATACGAATATAAGAGTACACAGTTCCAAATTGAAATTTAGATTTATACTTTTGTTCTATCCATCTGCGCCACAAAATGCAATGTTAAACTATAACTACAACTAACTAAAATAGGATCGCATATTAACGCAACGCAACCAGAAAACGGGCTTAGACTGGAATTCACAACGATTAAGGTGGCAGAATTTCCACATACGTTAACTATCTTGAAACCTCTTCTCCTATCTATATATATTTATTTTTCCTACTTTGCTCTCAACTTTTATCGCAACTTTTCCTTCAAAATATGCTCTCCGAAAAAGAAGATAATGTTGTTCCACCTTACAGGGTATGAAATATGAATGATTGGGATCATAAAAATTACAGGCATCGAAAATAATCAAAAATTAAATAAAATTAAAAATTCTGAAGTTAGCCAGATTTATTTAGGTATTTAATGCAAACTTAAACTTTTAATTAGTTCGCATTTCTTATATTTTTTTAATTTCAAAATGAAGTGATTCCTAATATCGAACTATGAGATACACGCACCTCACGGCCCTGTTACAAAGTATTACAAAATATACAAGGGACTAAAGAAATATAATTAAAAGCAATACAACCTTAGGTCTGAAAAGTCATTCATTCTATTTTTTCAATTACTTTGAACGTTTTTTTAATTTTAATTTAATTTTTATAAATCCGAAATAAATAGCTTTTAAGTGCCTTTTGAGTTCGATCTATAATTTAAAATATAGTGCCCGAATATATACATTCGTGTTAAATTAAAAAAAGAACCAAACATAATTAAGTGTTAATGAAGAGACCCCTCGTATATGTATATGTATATTCGTGCACCTATTAGTACCAACATGAGAATAAATCCTAAAAGTCCAATTCTTAAACATTAAATTCACCGTTTCTCTTTATGTACTTTTAGTTTTAAAACGGATATGTCATATCCTCGTCCTTGAGTAGTTTGAAAATGCGGGTTCTGGTACAATTTATGACTTTATTTATAGAAGTCATCAACGGCTTATTCACACAGGTGATTATTTGATAATTAAATTTAGGAGACAATGTCTTAATATATTCAAGACTTTTTCGTTGTATCAGTGACATAAGCTCTTGTTGTTACCATTAAATTTCATTTAAACTCTTGAAGAGTCAACTGAAGTTTCAATAGTCGCACACAAAATTCAGAAATTTGCATTAAAATAAAACTGGAATATTTGTTGAGAGATCTGTTTGTTGTTGGTTTGCTGTTTTCTGTTATCTTATAGCTGTGTTTTGTGACTATCTGGACGATTTACATGGAAGAAGCATGCTTTCGAGTTTTGATTTAGTTCAACATCCAGCATCTGACCATTTAAATAATTTGATAGATAATTTGGTGAAATCCATGTCGTGTTTGTCCTCCCCTTTCCATGAACATATATTCCTTGAGTCTAATAAATATTTCTCATACTCTTCCAAAACATTTACAAAATTATATGAAGTAATTAAATTAATAATAAAATTTATATTGTTACTATTGTGCTTTCGTTGTGAAAAATGTAAAGAGCTTCAAATCCGGAACACGCTTCCAAATTAAAAATGGTATTTATATAAATGTTGTCCTTTACGTCTTTATTTGGTTGTTTTGTTTAGGAAAAAGTACATTAAATTCTAACATTAAATGGTAAAGAAATTATTGGTCATTCCACTTATGAAAACATTTTTAAAATCCTTTCACGCTTTAGGTGGACAACAGATATCGTAGAGGCGGGTATCTCATAGACGGGGCACTCGACTAGAGCGATCTTAAGTATCGCAAATCATTTTCTCCCACAGAAATATCTTACATCTATCTTGGAAAATATTTTTATTTTGGCTATTTCATTTACTTTTCTGTTAAATACCGCAGTAGTGTGTGGTAAAATAATAATAGAAAAATATATATTTTTTTTGTGTTACTTTCAATTGTTTGGGCAATTCATACCAACCAAATTTCTCACACAGTATTAAACACCATAGGCTAGAAGAATTTCCCTCACACTTGTAAATAAAATACACCAAATCAAAAATATCATATAGCTCTCCTCCCAGACAACAAAAGATTGTTTAAACAAATATACGTTGCTTTATGATAATTAAAGTAATTACTTATGTTATGCTTATCCTATAAACTGGTATTGGAATTCTGCCAACCTTTTCCGTAAAACTATATATCTCAAAAATATCTCTCATTTCCCATTGGGAACCATACTGATTAGTACGGGCATACATATATGAATAATTTTCCTAAGTTTTCCCAAGTACCAATAGAGAGCTGGGGAAACTTCGGTGTCCGACACCATCGGTGTTTTCAATATTTTAAGAAGAAAGTTATTAAGAAAGTTCTAATAAATAACAGTGCATTGAGTAGGGGGATTCCTATAGTCAGGGAACTTTAATCCATATTTCCCCCTGGAAATAGTTAATCATCGTCTTGAAAGTGCCATCGATGGTTTTCCAGCTCTGCTTGTTTTCTATTGTCTTTTCATTTCGATTCCATACATCAGAACAAAAAAACTTTTAAAAGTTGTCCAGTATTGAACCCCCCACTATTTTTAGTTACGAAAAAAAACATTTTTTTTAACTTCTGGACGAATTTGACTAAAAGCAATGTTTTGTATTTTACAAATATGCCAAATATTATTCTTTTGTTGTATTTTAGCAAACTTCTGCATATTCTAGAAAACCAAAATTCTTATTTAAGTATACTTGAAAGAATATTTGCAATTCATACGCTTAGCGAAACGTGTGTGCCCCAAGAAACATATTAGCCAAATTTGTACGCCCATAAGCGATTAATTCTCATGTTAAACCACTTGCATCAAATCAAAATGACTCCTCATTTGAATTGAAAAATATTAAAATATCAGGCCGCTTCAAACAACTATTTTTGAATAACAAACATATGGCGAGTAAATTGTAGACTAAAAAAAATGATACAGCATCTAGCAAACCCCATTTACATTTATTTTTTTTTATTTCATCAATGCGCATAAAACCAAAAACAAATGACATTTAACATTAATATTAATCCAAACGCTCTAACTAAGCCAATAAAAATGTATTAATATCATTCTAATAAACCCCATAAAAGCCGCCATCCAAAACTAAATTCCCACATCAACTTACTAACTTCAACATCAAAAACCAGATAAAAACAACAGCGAATTGTGTGAAAAGTGACACACAGCACAGACAAAGTAAAATACTTATAATCATAAGTCTAAAACGAAACGAAAAAAACGAAACTCAACTATTAAGAAAATTACCAATTAGATCTCGATTTTTAAAATAAAATGATGATTGCGGATAATTGGTTGTACACTAAAATGACGAAAGAAAGAAAGAAAGAAAAATGGTTGACATCACTCTAATCCAGATTAAAGATTGAAGGCTTTAGCTTATGACTACACTAAAAATGTTTAGATACTTGAAAATATACAGATGATGACTCTTTGATGAGTTTTGGTTAGTGGATGTGAGGGTCAGAGGTGGTTTTAGGATTTTTAGTTAATTTTTCCTTGAACAATCTTTGAATTGAAGCCACCTTCTTTAATATTCCGCCTACATGCCCAAGTTTTAATTCGAAAAGGAACCGAAAAGAAAGGAAAAGCCCACCCTGCGAACGTTTTCTATCCCGAGAGTATCGTTTACGTTTTCGCGCTCAGATCTTCCGTTTTCCCCGACTTTCCCTTAACAGAAGTGACTTTTCCCTATCTTTTCTTTTCCCCTCGTGTCTGCATGTAATCGATGTGTACAAAAACTGAGTTGGGGCTATAAAGGGTCCGCCAAAAAAAAGAACATAGAATGTACCGCGGCAGAAGACCTTAATAAACTGTTTTTGTATTCACGTACACATTCCTTTTTCACATTTTACTTTAACCTTTACGCGACACTCAGAGAATCTCAGAGTGGGTATACTTATACACACACCAGCAGCAGGTGGGTAGGACTTTAATAATATTTGAGCGTTTTTTTGTTCCTTTCTCTAAGCAAAAATGTGCGTTTTAATATTCAGCCTCGATTAAAAATTAGTGGAAAATGTATAGCCACCTGGTTCCCGTTTCTGTTTCCGAAAAATGTTCTAGTTTTTGTTATGGAAAATATTTGACTTAAAGAAGATATTAACTGGAATATATTATCAAATAATAATATTGTGAAAATTAAGTTAAAACGCCTTTGTTTTTAAGCGTTCGTATAAATTGGGATTGTATATCGAGAGGAAATTTCCGATAGGATATATTGACCAAAATATCGAGGTCAATATCGTATCGAAAATATCGTAGTTTGCTATATCGAAATTTAAAATATCGAAATACAAAGAATTTAACGATGAAATATTTTTTTTCAACGTTTAAAGTGAACAAATAATAATTGTCTTATTTTTTTAATTAAGGGGTTGTTTTTGTAACCAGAAATGGGACCAGGTGGACAGGTAAAAAAAATATCAAGATTAAGAAGCACTCTAGCGAACACTAATTCAAACACACCTACACTTATAAATCTGTTAATGCGTGATCGACTAGGAAAACTAGGTTAAGAAAACAAAACAACAAAAAATGTAAACAAATCGAATACTTTTTACAAGTTTGTGTAATTTTTGTGTCCTTCTAGGAACTTATTTCAATTGCATTATGTTTATGGTGGCCTCATCAGTTGTGTCAACCATACTTATCCTCAATTATCATCATAGAAATCCAGATACGCATGAAATGAGTGAATGGGTAATATTTTTATATTCAAATTAACTTTACTACTTTCATACATTGTACAAAAAAAAAGAAAAAAAACCAAAACAATATGTATAATTTTCTTTCCACATATATATCACAACATACTGATTATGTTTCCAATTTTGCATTATTCCACTGCTAAACATTTGTATATTTATTGTTTGTTACAAATGTGTTTTGGCTTACCAAAATAAACAAATCATTTTAAACCAATTTAATTGTAAATATCTAGGATACCAATAATAAAAACATCAATTTGCATTAACCCATATTTTTCGCTCATATAAAAGACACCCAAACTATCAAACAATCACAACAATTCACCAATTCCAAATCCAAATGACTTGCAAGATATACTCAAGCAAAGCATGAGAGACCAAAATTTAATACTGAATTCCCCATCTGTATACCAAATGTCTTCTACAAAATCCCACTGAACTCCCTTAATACTTAAAAGTACGAAAAGATAAAGATCCCTCCCAGCAATATACTTATGAAAAGAACACACAAACCTATATACTTAAGAGTTTTAAACATATTGATCGCTAACAAGCATTTCAATCAAAACGAGTTTAAATTTGCTTTTATATAAATCGGCAACACTTTTGAAAAATTATTATTTTAAAATCGGTAAGAGCGGTTACAAAACTAAAATTTTGTTTAATACTACGTTTATACAGCTGGCTAAATTCGAAATAAAAATGTATTGATAGTCGATTATAGCTCTATAACAGAGTTACATTCCTTATAAGCAACTTAGGACGTTAGAAATGTTATAACAGATTGAAACCTTAATTGCAAATAGAAGGACCTACCGACGACCCCCGGAAAAACTGAACTATTGATCCATTTTAATTTGAAAATCAGCCGGTCCTATAAGCGTAGTAATAATTACTTACATATTTTATTTGATTATAACGGATTATAAACGGATTCCCCACAAACTTCACTATTGAAACAGAACCTTCCTATACATATTTGACTTAGTTATAAAATTCTTGATTATGAAATAAATCAGACTGCTGATTTAAAAGTACGCCTTGTCCAATAACTAATCTTGCTTCCTTTTAAATTTAAGTATTTTTCTATTCTGCCAGAGTCACTGAATATTTAAGTATATCAAAAAAAATAATTAAATTAAATCCAAATTCGCGATCATAAAATTCTCTTAAAAGTAGATTTCACTTTATTTTTGGTGACTTGTATTTTTGATGCTAACCAAAACTTTAAACATAGTCTTTGGGCCGAATTCCTAAATAATCAATCAAAGGAAGTCAAATTTGGCGGAATGTTGGCTTTAAAATAAAGTACAGGTATGTTTGTATAATGTAAGACTTTATATACTGAATACCGATGGCGAATCGAAAAATATTGCAATGTCGGTTTCTGTTTCCGTTCCCGAAGATTTTGCTTTTCAAATCAGTAATAAAAAACTTCAAAACAAAAATACATACAATAAATAAATTGAATCGTGCTCTGTAGTGAAAGATATTTTATGCTGAATATTTTAAATATTCTAACTTGAAATTCTACTTATATTAAAAAACTCCACGAACACATTTTTATGCTCCCTTTGTTTATACAATAAAATTATATTATGTTCTCATTCCCATTCGAGCACCATTTCTTATTTTTAATGTTTATAAATTAACATTAGAAATAGTTAGGAAAAGTTTCTTCAAGAAGGACTGACATTATTTGATTGTGATCAAGAAAATATGCTTTTTAGGTACGGAAATATTCAATTTAAATCCTACTTCTGTCTTTCTATTTGCAACACAGGTTTTAATCAGAGTTAGCTTAGTATTATTTACTTGTAAAAACTAATTTAGAGCATCCATAAGCCCAATAAACTATTGGTTTAAAACTCTTAAGCATTTATAGCTTCTTAAAAAAAACCTTCAATTACGTTTATCTGGGCTCTTAAAAAAGACCCAAAATTAAAATGTAGATCATGAAATAAGAATGAAAGTAGTCCTCAAAACTTCAGAATCAATGCCAAATCAAATCGTATACTAGCAAATTCTTTTTCATTATTAGTTATCGATACTATCGATAGTACCGATGAATATGACGTTTTGCAAATGTTTAGAGCAATTTCATACATATTCCTTGATTTCCTTTTTATTTCCATTTTAATTCATATACACATAACTAACTTTACATACTTAAGAAATCGTCTACCAACAACAGCATCAATAATCACACAAAAATGTTTATTTTTCAACCAAAAAACTCTGGCCAACAACTACAACTACGCAAACCAACTACGGCAACTCAACTACTTTCAACGCAAATAACTCAACTCAATTGCCTCTTCAATTGTTTCTCTCTCTATATATAAATATATATATCTTCCTCTTTCTACATGTGTATCTCTCTATGTCTCTCTCTGTTACTTAAACTATTTAACAAAAAACAAAAACAACAAAACCAAAAAATATACAAAAAAAAAAAAAAACAATAAATTAATTCAAATATCAACATGGCGACCACAACAACAACGACGACAATAATTGCACGTGTCGATTAACTTATACTACATAACAAAAAACCTATCGTACACATTCATATAATCGCTCTCCCCGAAAAAAAACTCATAATTACCAAACAACGAACAATGTATTAAATAAATTATCGATAAATACTTATACAACGAACTGATAAATAATCCTTAAATTTAAATTTCATTCTCCTCATCATCTTCTTCATTTTCATGCTAATTTAAACGAATTAAAAAAAATGTCTCACTAACGTGTCATTACAATACACAAAAAAAAAAAAACAAAATAACAACAAAACGCACCTGATATAACAACGATAACAAACAAAAAATTAACACTTATCATAAATTAAAAAAAAAAAAACGAAAAAACATAAACCTAAATGGCCTTCATATTAAAAAAAAATACTAAAAATTCGTATTGCTATTATTTTTAAACGCATTACCCAACTACACTCCGTCTCTCTGTCGAACTCGCACACACAGATAAGAGTAATATTCCTTTATTGGTTACCTTGCATATTGCGCATGCAAAGACCCGGACAGGTTGGCTACGAATGTCCGCCGCCGCCCTCATCATCGAGTTCATCTAATTCTGGCGAGAAAAAGCAACAGATTCAAAATGTTGAGCTCAAGGAGAGGTAAACAAAGACAGTCTCTTGGGGATTGCGACAGAAGGCACTGGGGAGGTTTTGAAATCTCTTACGAAGGGGCCTAAAAGTATGTTACAATATATTTTTAGTATAATTTGTGTTCACTGCCTACTTTTTGGGAACCTTTTTAAGTGATTTCAAACCCCCCAGGTGATTTCTGTAGCACCCCCTTCACATATCTTGTATTTTCAAAGCCTTGTCACTTCTCCTTGTTGTTACTTAAATCGTTCTAAAAAGAAATGCTTCATTGCAACTCCTCAACAGATCTTCCAAGTCTCTGCTGGCCAACGTCCTCGACATAGACGATGACTTTCGATGCAATCATCGATGTGCCAGTGCGACTTTGCCTCACCAGCCAACGTATTACAGGACGATGTACAGGTGGGTTACCTCAATGCGATCTTAATACAGTCGATGAATCGAAGTTCAGAAAAATATATATATGCCTTAATTATTGAGTCGGAAAGTGACGCCTATCTGGCATTGGGCACACGTCGATTCTTCTTTGTGTTTTTCTAATAAATATTTTTAAAATGGTATTTAGGCAAGGGGATGACGGCAGCGTGGGACCAGTGGGTCCAGCTGGACCCGTGGTCGATGGGCGTTTGCACGAAGCCATTTCGCACACCTGTCTGACCTCATCTGCAGAATACGAACTGGCGCTGATACTCAAAGAACTGCGTTGGATAACGGAGCAGGTGAGTGGAATGCGGTGTTCAATGGACATCTATCTATATAATAAAATAAAAACATCTATATAATAAAATAAAATAAAAATACTTATTTTAAAGGTATCTATAAGTATGCAGTACAGAGCTTCAAAATATATTGACAGTTTGCTCTTTCTAGTATTTAAAATCGATTTTTCCTTTTAAAACATCGATATAATCGAATTGATATTTTCAAAATATCGAAAATATCGATGTTTTTCTAGCTCTAATGCAGTAAATTTTTTTCTGATTCTGATACTGATTTGTTGCATACTTTTAGTCGGCTTTAAAAGTGATTTTAATACGTATTTTTAAATTAATTTTAAATTATTTAATTAATTTTTAATATTCATTCGATTTCGATTTTTCCTATTGTAATTTCCCCTAGCTAAAAAAAGAAGACGAGACAAGCGACATAACACGAGATTGGAAGTTTGCAGCCATGGTCGTCGATCGTTTGTGCCTTATTATTTTCACTTTATTTACTATTATCGCCACCCTTGCTGTCCTATTTTCAGCGCCACATTTCATTGTAAGTTTCCCTTCCGGTTTAAACGAGTTTTCCAAAACCCATTTCACCATATGATTTTTATTGCAGTTCCCGTAAGCGGAAATGCGTTGCAGGGAAAAAATGTGGAGCAGCAAGTTAACAGCAAGTGACAGGCCACAGAAGTTTTTGTGGTTTATTGTGAAGTATATATGAAGCCAATCAAAAATATTAGGAACAAAGAACAAAAAACAGCAACAACAACAACCCGAACCTAAGCTTTTCAAACTGAAATACTTTGACAGTCAAAGAGTTTTGCTATTCAACATTTTGATATATTTTAAAGATGTGTCTGATGGTTATAAAAAAAATATTATAATGAATTGAGATAGTAACGTATGTACGTATGTGAATGCATTTTGTATAAAAACCAGAGAGAAAAACGAAATACAAAAAAAAAAACGAAGAAAAAAAAACCCCTAATAATAAAATCGGAATCTGGGCATAAATGTACGTTGCCGTGTGCATTTCGATTCGCCCATTAGATACAAAGAAGAGGTTTCTAAATCTAAATCCAAATCGCGAAGCGCTCGTAGATGCAATCCACCTCCCTCTCCATATATCTATATTCGATATTCGATCGAGGAGCGCCAAAACATTTAACCGACTCGAGTAGGCAGAATGAGAGAGTGACATTTAAGGATATACACAAGTGTATACAGCTTCACACTATTGTTAAAAAAAAAAGAAAAGAGAGCAATTAGTATTTAAATAGTCTGTATGCAGCTTTCAAAAAGTTAAACTATTTTTTTTTTGATTTGATTCGAATTACTTTTATTTGGTTTCTTGGTTCCCATGCTATTCAATATTCAAAGAACTGTATACAAATGTGTTGCTTTGATATAAGAAATGGATTGACAATATACATTGGATTGCAATCCAGCCACAACAAATGCAAATTGAACGAATACAAAAGTGAATTGTGAAATTGTTCCCGGTAAGAAAAGGAAACTGCACTTCAATAAGAGAAAGTCATTTAACTGAAATGATCGCACAATAAATTCATAGATGATACTTAAAAGCTAAAGTCAAAATTGAACACACACTAGAGCTTGAAAAATATCGATATTTTCGATATTTTTTGCTACTATTCCTTGAAAACATCGAAATTATCGATACGATATTGTGAAACTATCAAAAATATCGATAATTTTCAAGCTCTAACACACAGCTACACACAACAACTAATCACAGTTGTGATAAACAAAACAAAAAAAAATTAAATACTGTTGAAAAAATAATACTTGCTAAATTTAACGAATTTCACTCTGCAAATAACCAAACACGAAATCTCCTACACAGAAAACAGAAAAACACTTAATGCATTTTTTAAGCAGAAGAATGCAGTACACAGAAAATGGGAAAATATTTGCTAGCCATTAGAGAAGACAAAAATAAACAAAGAAAAAGTAAGGAAATAGATGCCAATAACTATGTATATCACAACCATTTCATCAAGTCTTTCCTGCTGACGATCCTCAGCGGTTAAACGGTGCTTCAATATTAACAGGTGCTTCAATAATAGGCGCCAAAATAATTTTATCCTTGTATAGTTAATTGGCAATGTAAAGTCATGAAATCAAATCAAAAAAGGGGTTTGTAGAACGTTAAAACATGAGTAAAGTAAAGTAAAGCTATTTAAACGGTAGAGTAGGCAATTTGGAGTCCATTTGAATCTTGAAATTCGCCTTCGTAAAATGGAAAAAGATAAAATATATCCAGTGATAAATTGGGGATTCATTTTCCAACTTAACTTTCACACTTGACAACCACTTTTCGCTAGCAAAGATGTTCTTTAATCTGAGTACTGGACTTCAAGGCGAACACGAGCATAACTTATCTTAAAAAAAACAAGCTAACATAATTTGGCAAAAAACTTAAGCTAAAATTGTATGATAATGTTAAACACAAGTATAAAGTTAACTATTTTTAAATGGAAAAAAAAACAAGACAACAAAAAAAGAGTGTCAACAGCAACGAAAGCCGAATATAAAGAGCGTTAAACAAAGATATTGCAAAAGAGTATAGTTTTCAGAGAGAAAGGGTCGCAGCTATTCAGAAATACGAAAGAAAAATATATCACTACAGTCAAGCTTCCATAACTCAACCTTTCCTAGCTCGAAGTCTCTATAAGTCGAACTAGTTTTATTGGCAGCATAGATTTTAAATACACGTCAAATCAAATCAAATCTACATATAACATATAAACCCCGTATCTCCATAACGCGAATGTTTTTTTTTTTGGTGGCAGATGGTGGCTCGTGTTATCGAAGTTCGACTGTATCTTTGAACTCCCCAAAAGAAAAAAAAAAGAAAATAATAAAAAGTGCAAGTTAGAATACAAGTTAGATTTAACACATTTTTAAACTAAAATTAAAACAGCAAAAAGTTAACAGAAAATTCATGAGAACCGTAAAAATCTAGATTAAAAAAAAAACAAGTATGTAAGACCGAAACTGGAAACAATAAAATGTTTACATTTTAGCTAGTGCACATTGGACCGATTTGAACAATTTAATTTGAAGCCACGAAGAACAAGGTATACATTTGAAATATTAGGTAAATATCATAAACGCTAACGAAACTAAGTTTAGAATGGGTGAAGTTTTTGTGAGGTTTTTTTAAGTTTTACCCGGTATTGTTTATATGTACATATTTTATTGCATATCTTGCGACCGATCAGAGTGATTATTATTAAAAGTGATTTGATCCAGCATGGTTTTTCTCTTTTTTATTCTACATATGCGAATATATTCTTCTTGAAATTTGAATATTCGACCGTTATTTCGATGGTTGCCACACAGTGTTTCTGGTGCGTGTCTCGGGTGGAAGACTCAGACTCAGACTCCTCTATGGTTCGACTTCCGACTAGCAATGTAAGTTATTTAAAGGCTTGACACCTAGCTATGGTGAGTGGTGGTTTGGTTATTAACTAGGGGGCAGATGTAACGAAATTTTAAATAAATAATATAAAATATTTTCAATTCGTCTTAATATTATTTATTTAATACGTTTTAATGTCTTGAAGCATTTGAAATAAAATGCCTAATTTATTATACACATATTCAATAAAAAAGAATCATTAATTAAGGCAAACGATTAAAAAATATTTGGAAAAGGTTAATGTTGGAGCTAAAAAAAATAGGCATTCTTAATTTAGAAAAAGCTAGTACAATTGTCTATCGGTGATGCCACAGAAACAGCTTTTTTAATCTCAAAAAAGGTGTCTAAAAGTATGCAACAATATATTTTTAATCCAAAAGTGCTTTGAATTTACTTACTGCATATTTTTAGACACCTATTTTGAGATTTAAAAGTGATTTCAAAAACCGCAATATATTTCAAACTCTTTTTTGATTAAAAGTTGGCTTATTTGCTGCCCGCTGACAATGGAAGCCAAATGGATATGGCATTGCCTCACATTCACTGACCAGTCGATGTGTCATGCAATCGCTGGTAATTGGATATCAGGGGCTACCAAACCACTGGATTTGACTGTTTTGTGTGACAATGTGGCGAAATTAGCTTCTGACAACCCTTTTCCTCTCCCTTCAAAATTATTCCGTGTGGACCCTCCTCCGTTTTATTCTGGCTATGATATCTGGGATGCAGGGAACCGGTTAATGCCGGCTGGGCCTCCGCCTGAACTCGGTCAATAAACTAACCGCAAATATGTTGATTCAAAAACTTAAAGACAGCACCACCAGCCCAGCCCCATCGGTGTTTCGACGTCACAAACATGTTGCTGCAGTTTTGGATTTGGCATACAGCCAAGGTCAAATAATTAGTCTCAAAAACTGTAAGTCTTCAATCCAAAAACTGTCCTAGAATCTCAGCAAAAATGTAATCAGGTATTTTTAATTTTTCGCAATTAAATTATTAAATTAAATTGCTATTAATCTGTTGATGGCTGTACATATGCATAAATGCCTGGCGAAATTGGAGTGTATCGGTGGTTGCTTTTGGTATTCTGTCGATTGTGTGAAAATATTATGACTGGAGGAGGAGGAATATCTTAACGAAAAGAATGCCTTTTATTTTAAAAGGTATTAACATTTTTTTTTTAGACGTTTCTAAAGAGGTGACACGTTAAATGTGTATTTCTAATCATCAATATTTTTAGATATTTTAGTTTGTTCTTAGCTGTATTATATTATACTATTTTTAATGACTTGTACTTTTTGTAAGTATTTAAATTAAAGTTTTATAGCCATCAAATAAATATTCAGCGTCATCGTTAGTGACGTATAATTATATGATAATCAAACGATTTAATAGAGGACAAATACTCATTGTCAATGACGTAGACTTTTGATAACAGCTATTAAATTTGAAGAACTTTCTTTAATATATATTTATTGTAGTGCACAGATTACACAACAAAAATCAATAAATAATATTATTGGCAAATCAATTGTAAAAATATACAGTGCAATTTGTTAATCGGAAACGTTATTTTTCGGGGACCTCTAGCCAAAAAAAAAAGTGACCAGTAATTATGCCTCAATTAATGCGTGAGTCAAACGGCGGTGTCGTCATGAGAAATATTAACAATCACGGTTTCACAGAACAAAAATGGTTTGCCTTTCGGCTTTTGGGTCTGAGTGACGTGACGCATGGTGTAGACCAAAGTTTTTCCCTACAAATTACGGCTGTAAATATTTAAGGTCTGAGAAATTCTCAGATTGCGACATTTTTTTATGAAGCGCAATTAAGTTTATCGCTTTGCCATTTTTTTTGGTGTGTTAGTTGAAGTAGTCTAATCTAATTGCCAATATTTACTCAACAAATTTGAGAGAGTTTAATTTTTTTCATTCAAAAAGGAATTTAATAACATTGCTTTGCGAATGTGTTTATTATCAGTCGATAGTTTTTGATAATCGTACTCGCGAAGTTTCCAAACTTTTCGCCATTACATTAAATATAAAATATAAAAATATTTTTGGTTGATATTTATAATTATAGAAAAATCGACATATAAGAATTGCGAAACACCATGAAATTGATTTCATTTTATTTAATCTATGTATGCTTATTCTTCTGATGATTTATTTTTGTTGATAGCTGGATAGGTGGGGTGCTGTTCTTATCAAAGCTTGGGGGGAAAATACGAATACGAATTGAAGTTCAACAAGTTGTTTGTTGTCGATGTCGTTTGAAAAATTTCGATTCGTTTGCTATGCGACTAATGAATTACCTACACGTGATAACTAGCTAACTAATTGCAATTAGTTGGGAAAGCATAAAATCGTTAAAACTTTCACCCAATCAGGTAGAATAATATTTTGGATAATATGTACCTCAGGAAAAAATACACACACACATGTATAAAAATATCAGCGATTATTTTTTTTTCTTCTAGGGTAATAAAAACATCAAGGGAAATTAAAACCAATAACGAAGAACACGCAAGATACTGTGCTGAAAATGAGAATGAGGACCGGAACCCGCCGTCCCATCGAAACGAGTATTTTGTTGTATTTGTTAAAAATATCAGAAAAAGAGGCAAAAACTCAAGAACTCGAATTGAATTTGCTGCTTTCCTATGCTGGCGATGCGTTGCGATGTCTCATCATCGTGGCGCTGAATAAAATGATAATGTACTCAAAAAACTCACGTACGTACAACCTGCGGACACATGTATATATTCTCCATATATGTACAGCTATATAACATGCATTATAATTCAGCAATAATTGCACAGAATCGTTTTCGTTTTCGATTTGTTTGCCTATTTATCTCCGGCGGGAGCATTGTAATTGCTTTGGCCAACAGAGGCAGCCGGAATGCTCCTAACCTAACGAAATGCGAGTGGAGTGCCCGCCAAACCGCAACCACCTGTTGTAAAAAAAAGGGGAGAGCAAACTGTTGCTCCCACAATGTCATGGGGCCAATACACTGGGAAAAGGGGAGATAACTTGATTAAATAAATATAATTTACTAACTTTAATTTAAGTTCTATAAAAGTATAGTCCCAAATCAAATTTAATGTTTAATTCCTAATATTATTTTATACAAAACCTCTTCTTTTGGTTTATAAATATAAATTGAAGATAGTTGTCTGAAAGGTGCATCAGCTGCTCAGAAAATCCTTTATTCCGCTGCTACTGATGCATTGTTTACAGAGAGTTTAATAATACAAATGTCTAATATTATTCTACACCAACAAAAACAAACTGAACTAATTAAAAAAAAAAAAATATATATAAAATTGAGGATTAAATTGTAACCAAAATATAACATAGAATTTTGCCTATCCTTAACATTAATAGTGTTTTACCAAACACAATATCTATTTTCATATAAATATTTTTTCGCAGGTGCATGCTTAGTTGAGCTTCGATACGATACGATACATGAAGGGGCAGAGGTAGTAGGTTGTGAGATCAAACGACTTACTAACCGTTGCCAAGGAGTTTTTATTTGTATGGGGAGAGAGCTCCCAGAGGGAGTTGTGTGCGAGAGAGCGAGCCAGGGAGAGTGGGCTGTGGGCTGCACAGTGGAACCATTTTGGAAAACTGAAATAGAGTTGTGAGTCAGATTAATTAATTCGCCGGGCATTTGGTAATTTATTGATGGGACCACAAGGATAGACAAATGATGGATGGCTCATTACTAATTGATTTATGGCCCAAAAAGCTTGGATTTTAACTGATAGTACACACGTACAGGTAAGATCGTTTACATAATTACTTTATTGCAGTCGTAAAATAAAAAAAGGACATGGGGTATCCTTCAAAATTTTCCAGGAAAAGGGAATTTCGTAATTATTTTAATTTTATGAGTGTTTTAACGATCGTTAACTGTGGTTAACCCTAGAAATCCTCTCGGGTTTCCCGGGTAACAATTTTGCCCGGAAAGTCAGGATATAAAATGCCGTCGGCACACCAAAACAATTTCGTTTTACACCGTCAGAAAAATATGAATCATATGATATTACAATTTGGTAGTTATAATAAATATTTAGATATTTTATCTAAATTTTTGTATTTTATCTAATGTAATATTTCACGTAGAAATATTTTATTTTAAGTGTATTTTTAGTTTGTTAGTTTTCCCGCTGTGCATGGGTAGTTGTTGTCCGCCAACCAACCAATTAGTGGCTGCTGCCTACCTGGCCTGCGACCTTTGAACTTGCTGTGTGGCCAGCAAGTGGCAACAGTTGGTCCGGTCCACAGAGCGGCTTAATAAAAGATCACCCACTCAGTGGTATCGCCACTCCGCTCTTTCTCTCTCTCTCTCTGTCTCACTTGCTCCGTCTGGCGATTGCTTTACACACATAAAAACATCTCAATATCTACATATTCACAGTTTAAATAAATATTTACATGTTATGTATTTGTTTGATAAGTGAATCATATTGTATCATATACACTTCTCTCTCCTCACTTGCTCTTCAAAAGCTCGAAGAAATCGAAAAAATTAAGGGAGCGAAAATGTAGGTTCGACACCCGCTGTTATTACTATTATTTTTGAAATTATTAAAAATTGGCTAGTTTTTTATTTTATAAATTTTTTTTAAAATTTCATTGGTAACTGATTATACTATAAATTTTTAAAGAGTAATGATATCTCTGAGTGGATCTTCCGTTACAATAAATTATAATTTAATACTATAAACATGTTTTTTTTATATATTTAAACATTAAATTTATATTAAAAAAAAAACAATTTTAAATTTGTTTATTAATTGTATTGATACGCTTTAATTTGTTAAACAAACATGGACAAGAAATCTAAAAAAATTATATATAAAAAAGAACATTACATTTATATTATATTTTCCAGTGTAATGATCTCTCTGAGCGGATCTCCCGGCTTTTTTTTAGCAATCCGAGTTTGACGCCGTCACGATGATGATGCTGTGAACAGAACACTAGCCACCAAATCGCAGCCCACTGTTGAGTGTTGTTGAGCCGGGCCTGTTGTGAATATGCCTCCGCCTGGGAGTGGGAAGGAGAGGGGTCATCTCTGGCCAAAGAGAGAGACGTCTGCTGCCCGGCAACTGCTAATTGGCATAGCTAAATGCTCCTGCCTATCGCATCCTCTGCCGCGACTCCGATTCCTGCTGCACTTGCCATGCATCGCCTATCCTGCTGCTGCTGCTGCTGCTGCCCACGCATCAAGAGAAGAGCTGACACTCTTCTGTCCGCAGAAGCACACGGAAAGAAAATGCATTGCATTTAACAATCAATAACTGTTGCTTTACTGTAGGCATAATGTTGCGCGTTTTACGAATAAATATTCATTTCATTTCCACTTCGAATTTAATAAAATAACGAATATTGTCTAAGTACAACATTTTTGTTTTGAATTGTTCGACTTGTTTTGCCTAAAACTGTTACTTCACAGAAAGAAAAAAAATATTAAGCCAAAATTAAAATAAAAAATCGATAATTCTCGAAAAATAGACTTCGTTTTTTGTCCTCATTTTAAAATAAAAGTACATTTTTAATCCTTAAATCGGTTGTCAATTTGGAGTTACAAACCTAGTTTTAGTTTAAGATGTTCGTCATTGTAAATTAAGAATAAAATTGTAAAATAGAAATCGTTTGTAAATTTGTAGTATAAAACTTAATTTTAGGTTAACAAAAAACTATCTACTTTTTTTATTCCTCATTTTAAAATAAAATTATAAATAAAATTATTATTTAAGTTTAAAACCTATTTTTAGTTTAACATGAGGAAGAGAAAACAACTCATGTTTTCAGCATTTTAAAATAAAAGTACATCTCCAAGTTGGTTAGTGAATTTGGAGATTAAAACCTAGTTTTAGTTTTTTTTTTAAATATTTCTCTCGGTGTAGAGCCAACTCTCTCCGGCCATCTCGCTCTCGCTCCGCCGCCTTGCTTTTGCTATTGCCGTTGCTGCTTTGCTTTGCGTTGCCAGCATGAAATGAAATGCTATAAAGCAGACCGCAACAGTTTAACAGCAGCAAGTCGACTGCTGGCCGCGTAACAGTAAACACACCCACGAGCGGACACGAGAACAGGCAGCCCACACGGGTGAAAAGCAAAACAAAAACCGAGTCCAAGTTCCAAGTTCCATTGAAGCAAATACGAAAGCGAACTCCCACGAACGACGCAAGGCGAAAGAGTTTTTGTTTGTTAACACCAATACAAATATTATATTGTGCTGGCCAGAACCGAAAAGAAGAGTAGAACAGCTGAGCTGAGCTGTTTGGTTCCTTGGTCGTTCTTTGGCACTTGCTGTTTACCTGCCGCCGCCGTTGTCGCGAGTTTTTAGTATTTAAACGTCTCATTTTTTGTTCTGTGTATATTTTTCCAATTTTAATTCTCTGTGCTGCTGCACATCCCACAAGGAAAAGTGTTGAAATTCAGCAGATCCTCTAGTAATCTGCCTGTGAAAACCAAAGAAGAGAAAGAGCCACCAAGAATTTTCCCAGTAAGTTTCGATCAACAAGTGAAGTGAAATAATAATAAAATAAAACATTGATCTCGAACAACTTTAGGGATATTTTTATGTGTGATAAGAAAAGAAAATTAGTTTTTATAGGAAAAAAAAAATAGTAAGGGAAGGAACAATTTATTTATTATATTAATGCATCAATAATGCTTATTATTTAAAATCTGCAGTTTGCAAAATCAATAATTTGTGTGGAGATGTGGATTTTCAATTGGAACCACATAAATAATAACAACATAAAACAATGATCTCTAACAACTTTAGGGGTATTACTTTGTGTGATAAAAATATGATATTTGTTGTTTTAAATTTCCGCGTAAGTTTCGATCAACAAGTAAAGCGGAATTTAATTGGAAGCACATAAGAAATATTTTAATAAAACAGTGATCTCTAAATACTATTATTTTCTGTTTTTAAAATATTGTTCATTGATTTAAATCAGGGCGACTGAAGTGACTAAATAAATGAAGTGATTAAATATTTCTTCAAGTGTATCTAAAAGGTGAGAGATGCACCTAACCCTCATCCTACAATCCCATTTTATATCCACTCCATCCATCCCAGCCGCCGGATGATCTGATCCCGGTACCAAATTGAGTTTTGCCAAAGGTTTAAGCATTTTTATGTCGGTTTATTTTTATCTAACCATCAACGGGGGAGCTGGGCTGAAAATGTTTACCAAATTCAATTACACATTTTTATGATGTGCTGGTGTTTTTTTTTTCCCCCGGCCTCAGGTGCCTGGTGTCCTGAATCTGGGAGTCTGGATTTGCGAGAGACGGAATGCATTTAAAGTTCCGCCATTAAGGCGGCTCAGCCAAAGACTTTTAAAGTTCCGAAAGTGATTGAGTGCTGCTCTAACATAGTTTCCACTTTTCATGCAGCAGATTAAAAGAGATTAAATGAAAATATTGGGGAAAGAATATAGAAATATTGGTAACTACTTACAAGGGGGTTAATAAAAAATTGATAAGCTTAGTAAATAAAATCCCAAGGTTTTGCATACTTTGCATTATAAAGGATTTCTTCTTTATCAGCATGAATGCTATTATTCACGCTGCTTAATTTCTTAGAAAAATTAATTAAACCCCATCTCTTTTTTTTTGGTTGTATTTTTTAGTCAAAGCATAGTTTATAATTTCTAATTAATTTATTAAAAAGCGACTCTCTGGCACTCAAAAGCAGCAGCTTCTTGACGTCGTTTGATAAGCGTGGTGGCTGGTTGGTTGTTTGGCTGGTTGGTTGGTTGGTTTGTTGCCTAGGATACGAGGATACCCAAGGTTTCGCAGAGGGGTTTCCAATGCACTGATGCTGCTGCTGCTGTCGGCACACAAAACACAAAGTTGGCAAAATGCTGGCTGCTGACTTCTCTCCTAATTAACTGGCACCGAGATAACCTGTTGCATATTTGCAAGGGGTAAACAAAGGAATCACCTGTATGTATGCTATTTCTAAACACAATGGCCTGGCTTTTTGGACCCCTTAGATTTGATATGAAGAGAATGCATTTAGGTGGAAAATTGATGGTAGCTCGTAGCTTGATTCTCAATTGAATCAACAGTTATAAGCTGCTTACGTGCTTTCGCGATGATTATCGTATAATGGTATATTTCCAACCCCCCCGAAAAACCCCCGCAGGGATTATGCAATCGACAAAAGACCCTGTCGGTGCAAAGGTCTAAAGTGAGTCGAAGAGAATCTCGAGAGTCGATAAGTATGTGTATGCCAAGCTCCTACTCGTAGATAGTTGCACTAATTCATAGAAAATTTCAATTGTTTTCTTCTTCCTTCGGCTTTGTTTTAATACCTTCACTGAGCAAAATAAAATAGTATTAGACATTTTTGAAATTATTTTTTCTTGCAATAGTGGAATAATAATCTGAGACATATAAAACTGTACCTAAAATTTTATGAAGCTAAAATGCCAAGACATAAACTACTGAAGCTACATCGTTAATATTTTTACCAAATATTCTTACCACAATATGAAATTTTGCTAGGAACTCCAAATAAATATTCCTTTCACTCGCATTTTAGTATTTAAATATATATTTTTTAAAGACAACCTAATAAAATAGTATTAGGAATTTTATAAAAATATTTCATATTTATTTATGGCAATAGTGGAATAATCTGTTATTATAACTTTGATTTCCAGTGTATATTTTCAATTATAGATTATAGATTATGGCTTTTTCTCAGTGAACCTCCTTCTCCTCCTCCTGTAGATCGTGTGTCAGACACTTGTCTTGTTTGACAGCACACCCAAGTGGAATTAGCATTTAGGGATTGAAACTGGAACCATTGACCGACCGGCCAGCAGTTTGCCCCGAGAGAATTTCTGGGATTGGTTTTGGGTTTCACTCGTAGTACCCATAACCCACCGACGACTGCATTTCCCAGCACCACACCACTTCACTTGGGCCTCCTCTTCAGTTCACGGAAGGCACCACTTTGGTGGGAGTCGGGTTGAAGTGTACGTGAGTTTATTCGGGCCGAAAAAAAAAACGAAAACAAATAACCAAAGACTCGACAAAAAAATAATTTAAACAAAATAAAATAAAAGAAGTGCCTAGGAATTGCCTGAAATGTGCATTAAACGCTTTGCATAGGAAAGCGACATGGACATGGGGGAATTGTTGTGCCGGAGATTGACATTCCCATTCCTATTCTGATTCTGATTCCCATTTTCACTTCGAATCATACAAAGCACACATGTGAGAATGTGCCGGGTGTTGGGATTATTTTGTGGCCTGGCGAGGAGAATGCTGAATGCTGAAGGCTGAGGGCAGAAGGCTGAAGGCAATAACAATCATTCGAAATGCGCCTTAAAATAGCAAACAGCTAGCACCCGAACACGTTGTTGCTCATAATCTCAGATGCAATTGAGTGCTGCCAGCCAGCACATGAATGATAACTTTGTCCAGGCCCACTGGAGTATTAATAGCCATTTTTAGACTCTATTGAAACCAAGCATGACGCTCTGCTGCTGATTTTCCTGCTGCTGCCATACCAACCAGACCCAAAAGAACAAAAAGCCGAAAAAAAGAGGAAATGGAAAAAAACACCTAAGCCGCAGTCATACTTCAAATGGTGAACAAATCATTTCAAAATGTAAAGGTGTATGTTTAAAAATGCAATTGTAAAACAAGTTCTACAAAATCCTGGTAAAAAATCATTTTAAAAAGGAAAGGGTTTATCTTCAGAAATGCAGTTTTAAATTCTAAAAAAAAAGATAAAAATAAAAAAATAACTTTGAGCCTTTTAAATAAAATCTTGGTAATCAAAGGTAAAGGTATACGTTTTAAAAAGAAACCTTAATTTCTAAAATATTTTTAAAAAATATAATTTTCCCTTTTAAAATAAAAATTAATTTTAAAAGTGTAAATATGCAGTCTTAAACTCAAAAACAAATGCTAAAAAAAATGTTAAAAAAATCTTGGTAAAAAATAATTTTAATAAATAAAGGTATATGATTAAAAATGCATTCTTTTTTTCCACAAAAAAAAAATACAAAATATATGGTTATATTATAGTATTATATAAAAATGCATTTTTTTTATATATCTTTTATGTTTCTTTTACAATTTAAAAATCAAAAACCCTAACGAACGGTTTGTGTTAGCCAATTTCAACTGTATACCAATGCCCAGAGATTTTTTCCACTCTGGTTTTTCATTTGGTTTGGTTTTATGCGTTTTGCAGTTTATTTACACCAGCTCCACAAGAGTATCAGGCGCCAACAGTGGGATCACACAGGGGGAAGGAGTAAAAAGGGGGAGAAACCCCAGGAACCTGGAACTTGGGGATTGGGGTTTACGATTCGACGCGTATATAGTACACAAATGAACCCTAATTGGACACCTTGAATGCACGCAGTAAAATGCAAACGCATTTCTCGAAGACTTTCCTTCACAACCGTTGATCTCTAGCAACCGGTTTTTTCACCTACAATACACAGATGTATATGCATACAAATCATTTCCTCTTAACTGCCAACATTTTGTTTGCGTCATTATTACTCCCAAATGCAAAAATACGCCCCGAAACGCGATCGTTTGTGAAATCATTGACAAATGTTTACAATCGCTTTTAAATGAGGAAAGATTTTAGATAATACAAAAGTATCAAGTTCAAATCATGTTAAATATTAGAAATATCTTTTTTTTTGACTAGACCTAACATTTTCATACACACAACTTAAAAGCATTGTGAATTTTTTTTTTCTGACTTCTCTCACATACTAGATCATTCTATAATGATCCCCAATCAGATCAAAGCTAAATCTGCTGCTCTCATTGTAATCTTGTGAAAGAGGTAAGATCTTAGTGATAGATGATATCTACATATTCTAAGTACTTGGACGATTATATCATTATTTATGACTGACGAAGAATTTAATTTCCAAAAGCCTCTGTTCACAAGTGCAACGATGTGTGTAGATTATTTTCCTTTCACCGAAGAAACTTGGAAACTATCTGCCTAAAGTTCATATATATATTGATATATATTCCCCCTTATTTGATCAGCTGAAAGTTTGGCGCTCTCTCACTTTTCTCATTAGCAGCGAATCAATTACGCTCATATCGCTGGGCTTTAATCAATTCTCATTGACACAATTTAATTGAAGCGTTTGGTTGTGAAATAAAACGATCTGAGCGACAATTCGTTGACGCCTCTCGCAGACCTATGCATTTACCAGGGTCTACACACACTATATAGATGAATGGAATACTCATATGTTGTATATACAATTCGATTCCGTTTATTACACACAAAGCAAACCGATTAATCTCAATTAGGGGCCAATTGGCTGAGCGAAAATGCTGGAGAAAACTTCCGTTGCGTGTGGGAAGCACTTGAAGAAAATTGTGCCCGTTTGAAAACTCCAAGTTATGGAGATTCGAAAGTGAACTTTTTCAATTTTCAAACATGGTGAATATGAGATTTATTTATTTGTTGTGATAAATTTACTGTTGTCGCTCGGTATATTCCCATTACAATTTCAATTGCATCTGAAAACAATTGCAGAAAATTGTGCCGGTTTCAAATCTCCAAGTTAAGAAGGTTTCAAATCTTAAATAAACTTTTTAAATTTTTAAACATGAAAAATATGCTATTAATTTCTTCATTGTGAGAAACTTACTTTTATCTTTCGGTAATATCTTTGTTTTGGGGAAATAAAATTGAGCCGATTTGAAATCTCAAATTTCAGGAGATTTGAAAATAAACTTTTACATTTATACTTCTTTCTTTCCATTTCAGTTTCTCTTTTTAATATAGAGGTATAGCTTACTTTTCTCCTAATTCTAATTTTTATTTTGAGATTTCAAAACTGGAAATCAAACTTAATTGCAATTGTTTTGAGTGTATCAATGGGAAGCTTGTTCGATACTTGTTCGCCCATTAGCTGCACCTGTTCTACACGTTCGCTCCCTTGTATTTTGTATTTTTCTGCCTGTGTGTGCCTGAGTGGGCATGTCGTGAACTTGAGAAGGTACAAGTGTTTTCCACATTTGTCTTCTGGCTCCGCTGGCTCCGCTGGGTCCCGACGACGACCGGAGATAACCGGCGATCGAACCTAATCAATAGTAGTGCCGCCATCGAGGGCCCTATCTATCCATCTATCTATCTGTATTTCTATCTCTATCGTTCCCCACCGAGTGAGTCATCAGACCCCGACCGCCGACCGGCGATAAGGCTTGAAAAGCGGCATTGGTTCGTAGGAAAAAGAGAGAGCCAACCTAAATCACAGTAAATCACATTCGCTCAAAGGTAATTTTTTTCAAGTGTAGTATTATTTTTTTTAATAACTCCCCTGCCAGACAGACCATCCACAAATAGCACGTGTTTTCCCAAAAACGCCTTATCGCTCCCGTGGGTAGTAGGTATATCCGCATTGATTCTTATCTGAGCAATGCGAAAAGTATTTGCCAATCCTTGGGCATATTCATTCGGTGGTATGCTGAATCTGTATCTGTGTATCTGTGGTCTTTGTTTGGCCGTTGGGTATTGCATTTGTTCTGGCCCTGCGGCCTCCTTATCGGACACAAAGATAAAGCCAATAAGCCCAACGAATCCCTTTGTTTATTGACTTCTTCTTTGGTTCTTCGGCGCGGCCTCATTATAATGCAAATTTACAGGTACAAAGCGCATTACGTGATCCAAAAATAGGCTCTAACTACTATATATATATTTTAGATTTTTTATTGCATTGACAAATCGAGAAATCTCTGCTCTTTTCAGCATGATTAGGTCAAAAACCAGAAAAATTTCGGTGAATTTAATAATAATGTGAAATTCCCAATTGTCTAACTGACTTTATCTGAGCTCTGAGCATGAGTGTTTGTTTTTCTATCCACAAATTGTTGTCCATGCAGCATGACTGCGCAAAAAACAATACAATTTATAAGAAAACATCGACGACAAATTGCGGAAACCCAGAGCTCTCCGCTCAGCTCTACAGCTCTACTGCTCCGTTCTCATCTGCCCCACGAAACCGGAATGTTGTGGTGTTGTATCGCACGATCGCTCCGACTTTCTGCTCGATATTCCCCCCACTCTGAGCGAAAGTTTCGCCTCAAAAATACTCTCACGATAGTCGCCGGGCGTTATTGAATATGGGAGTGTCATGCCATGAGTTTGCATGTCGCACACACTTAGTGAGTATTTATTCATAATCACCACTGTGCACCAGTTTCCTATATGTTTAAGTGATAACGCAAATCGAACTCTGTTTCAAGTGCAATATATAAATATATATATTGAGTAAAATAAGTAGAATTGTGAAAACTCCTTTTTTAGTAATTTACTTTTAGAAGTTAGTGATTAGAATATATGATATATTTCAAATACAATCGTTGGATGATTAAGATATGCATATCCATACATACGTTAAATATAGAAATTTATGAGCTTACTGAACGCGAGATTTATACATCGAAAAAAAGTGGTTCTAAAAACGAACCTTTTTGTAGATAAATTCCACACTAATGGAATTCCAAAATCTCTAAATAAGAGGAGTATTAAATAAATACTTTAGGAAGTATTAACATAAAACTTGGAATGGTAAACCTTATAATATTTGAATGAAAGTAGTATGAAATAAATACTACGGAGTTGACTTTATTTAGTATTAAATCAATACCAATCTTATATCTAGTATCTGGTATATCTAGTATATTTTTAATACAACAAGTATTACGACCTTTTTTGTGGGTGTAAATTTTTAAAATATTAAGCAACCAAGGCTTTTTCTATTAGCTATTTAAAGCCCAACTTGCAAAGTGTATTTCTTCGATCGTTTTTGTGAAGACTCTCCGCCAGACTCTCTTTCTTTTTCAGTTTTTTTTCTCACTTGATCGATGGCTTGGAGTTGTGAGTCTGCTAAGTGCCATCGTCGGGGGGTTTTTTGTTTATTTTTTTTTCCCCCGATCCCAGACTTAGTTTCAGACTGGCTGCGTCAGCGGGCGGGCGTCAATTTATGGCACGCTTCGATGAAGTTCAATGGCAAACACAGATGATGATGATGAAGAAGATTTCGGAGGGGGCAAAAGAAAAATGTCTGAATGAAGACATATCCCCGGTTCCCCAGCTGCACTACTATACTCGTCCTCGCATTATCGATGCATAAATAAACGAGATGCCATGCGATCTATACGCTATGGCTATGCTTTTATTTTTACAACTTGTCTTTTGATTATCGCAAGAACCGAACGATGACAACCGAGCCGGTCTGGCGGCTTTTACCAAGTGATTTTCCCTTGAGGATCGGATCTCTCAATGCAAATCCAGATTCTTCGCGAGAGAAGCGTGCTTTGCATGCATATTCTATATGGTATACGATGGTATTTTGTATGGTGCGCGTCGCACCCATTATGGCAAATCGAAAAATAGAAATTACTATGGCAATATATCTATGATAGAGACCTCGCCCCGTCTATAAATGCCTTCGACTGTCATATAATGACTCCAGCAATTCAGCTATCTGTTGCGATCCCAATTAGCAATTAGAGCATTATCTTCACCCCAGCCCCCGCGAATCCCTCTCGCTCTCCACAAAGAGTTGTTAAAGGTGTGCCATCGATATATGTACACATTTACTGCAGACAGGGGGGGAAAATATGTGATAATGCCCCGATGGAGTCGATAGATGACAGCTTTCCCTATACCTTGTAATTTGGAAAAACGCCGGATATGTTTGTCTCAAGTGGTGTTCATTTGCCAGATTTGAGATTGCCCAGTAATCAGTGGTTGGTTTGGGTACTTAACGCCTTTTTAGAATGTTAAATATTCCATTTAATTAACACTTAGCACTGAAAAGTGACTAAGACCATGGGAAAAAGTCCGAAAAGAAACTTGAAGATTTGGATTTTTTGAAAAATAATTTTATCTTAACTATTATTTTAGGAATACTGATTTTGCATTTAATACAATTTCTAATTATTATTTTATGTTCTACAAAAGTAGTCACTTTTAAGGTCATTTTAAAAGTTTTTTTTTGTTTCAGAAAATCCCACCAATTTGCATAGAAAAATGTCACACTTGCGTATCATATAGTAAGCTCTCTAATTAGCAGCTTTTTTTTGTAGTTCGTGCTTGTTATTCTCATTATTCTCAGAAATTACAAAGTCACATCACCATAAGAATTAAGTGCAGAAAAAAAGAAGAAAACTCCACCCTATCTCCCAATTGAAAGGCAGTGTGTCATTAATCAACGTCTTTGCACTTTCAGGATCAAATCGCATCGCAGCATCGCAATGGAGAAATCCAGCTTAACGGAGAAGAATCACACCCATGTGTACAATGACACGACCAAGCCGAAGAAGCCCAAGCGTCGCGACAAGAGCGATCTGGGTCCGGATTTTGTGGCGCCCGACGGAGGATGGGGCTGGGTGGTCTGCCTGGCAGCAGGTCTAAATAACGTGAGTGATATAGAGACGAAATCCCAGTTGAAAGGGATTACAATACTTAATTTACTACCTATATATATAAGTTAAAAAAATATATAGAGAAATAAAAATCATATTTACTATGATCGATACATTAAAATTGAAAGTCCTAATATTATTCATATTTAAAATATTAAAATTTTTAGCTTTGAATGTCATTCAAGCTCTTAACAATTTTAATATAGAGTAATTAAAATCATATTTACTATAATTTATAGATACAAATTGAAGCTAATTGTAAACGCTGATGCATCGTATAACAATTAAAATTCCTAATATTATTCTTTAGCTACAAAAAATAAAAATAAAAATAAGAAATAAAAATAAAAACTTAGAGTACACTTTGAACTATGAATACCCATATGTTTGCAAGATTTAAAGTCTACTTTAAATTTCAGAAGCGGACAAGTTAAACTAATGCCTTAGAAAAATACAAATAGTTACTATATATAAATATATTAATTCATTTTTCCACTCCCATTTCCACAGTTTTTCCTTTTCCCGGCTTTGCAGCAATATGGTTTGATCTACAGGGTGCGAATGCATTCCCTGGGCTTTGATGCCAAGCAAACGACAACTATAGTTAATGTGGTGATGGCCATCTCCTCGCTAGTGGGTGAGTTCAACACTCAAGCGATTAAAATATTAAATATTAAATCTATTTTCTATTAGGCATTGTAAATGGAGCCATGTTCCGTCGCTTCACATTCCGCCAGGTGGCCCTGACCGGCACCACGTTGGCCTTCCTGGGCATCTTCATGTCGGCCTTTTGCACCAACTTCTGGCAGTACATCCTCTGTTTGTCCGCCGTCTATGGCATCGGTTTGGGCCTGGCCATGGCGGCCACCTCGCTGGCTGTTAATACATACTTCAAGCAGAAGAGGCGCCGAGCCACTGGCTTCTCGTGGACCATCACTGGCCTGGGTCCCATTTTCTTTCCGCAGGTTTCGACCTTTCTGCTGGACTATTACGGTGCCCAGGGTAGCATTTTGATCTATGCTGGCATCGCCATGAATGCCGTACTCTGTGCTCTCACTCTTCAGCCGGTTCTGTGGCATGTGAAGAAGCCAGAAAAGCAGGTGGTCATAGCCATCGAAGGAGGAGGAGCTTCTGAAACGGAGAAATTGCAGCCCGATTTGCTGGAGGCCAATGGCAATCTGGTGGATCCCTGGAAGGATTACGAGTGCAGGTACTGTCAGTATCAGAAGCGCGGCAAGCGTGGCATCTTCTCGTCGCAGTATCTCTTCAATGTGGACGATCCCGAGAGGCCGGGCTATGAGATCACCGAGCCGGGCACACCGATGTTGGCAAGGGCCAACGATGGTTGGTTTGGTTCGAAGCTTTCGCTGACCTCGGAGAATGCGGCAGGCGGCGCGGCTAGGTATCGCACTCGCCAGGCTTTAATGCGTCAGGTTTCCGCCTCGCGCAGCCGCGAGAATCTCGATCGGTTGGAGCAGCAACAAAACAACAGAGATGATGGCCTGTTGTCCAAGCCGAATTACTTTAATCGCGAACGCGAGGACATGGATCGTTATGCCAGCAAGACGAGCGTCTACTCGAAACCAGGCCAGGATGAGCAACTGTTGCGCTGCACCTGTGCCGAGGACAAGGCGCTGCTGCAGAAGACCGCCGAATCGCTGCAGGTTGAGCTCTCCCATCAGCTGGCCGATGATTTGGCCGAGGAGGAGGCCAAGAAGCGCATGACCTTCTTCCAGAAGGTGAGCAAATTCTTCGATCTGGATCTCCTGCGTGACTTTACGTTCGTCAATTTGGCCGTTGGCATGAGCATCATGATGTTTGGCGAAATGAACTTCTCGGTGCTCACACCGTTCATTCTGAATTCATTTGGCTACTCGGATGGTCAGATCTCGTTGGTAATGTCGCTGCTGGCCTGCATGGATATATCGGTGCGATTCCTTGCGCCGCTCGCTCTGGAGAAGGTTAAGCTGGATAACCGGGTGCTGTTCGCCTTTGGAATCCTCTGCATTGCCGTGGGTCGCGTGGTGGTGTCCTTCACCAGCTCCTACGAGGTGATGATCGGTGTGTTCCTGCTTATTGGCTTTGGAAAGGGCTTCCGCACCATCTTCTCGCCACTCATTATACCCAGCTATGTGCCGCTGAATCGTTTGCCAGCTGCCTCCGGCCTGCAGCTCATCTTTAACACAATGTTCTCCTTCGCCATGGGACCCATTCTTGGTGAGTCTGGAGATAGAGCATGAATGGATTCAGTTACTAATTTTGAATTTTTTGTTTTATATGAATGAATTAATTAGAATTTTGAGTTTAATAGAATTGAAAGAGTTTGAATTTTTAGCTTAATAGAATTGAAAGAATTTGAATTTTGAGTTCAAAAGAATTGAATGAATTTGAATTTTGAGTTTAATATAATTGTATGAATTTGAACTTTGAGCTTAATAGAATTGAATGAATGAATGGCATGAATTTCGAAACAATTTAAACAAAGAAAGGGCCATAATTTTGTGATTAAATCTGCCTGAATTTTATTTACTAAGCAGTTAGCAAAAAAAATCTGTCAAATTCAAAAAATTCATAAAAATTATTCATTCAATTCGAAATGAATTAGAAAAACATTCAATTTATTTTACATAAAATTGTATTAAACAAATCTGAAATTTCATACTATGATAAAAGAAAAATTGAATAATTCACGCAGGGCTCTATTTATTATTATAATTACTTATAAATTATAAATTACTATTATTTTTTTAGGTATCCTAACGGAGGCCTTTGGCTATGCGGCCACCATCCATACCATCAACGCACTCACCTGTCTGGCCCTGCTCCTTTGGCTCACCGAGTCCGTGGTGCGACGCATTTTGGGTAAACCCTCCAAGGGATTGGGTCAATAGAAGAAGCAGCATCCTTGCTAAGGAGAGAGCAAGCTGACAAAATCTTCATCGGAACTGAACTACTTGGCCATCGCAATCCCAGTTGGCGAGAGATAATTCAAGCTGTAGACATAACCTAGTCCATCATATACTTCCCGATCGATTTGTGTGTATAGTATTACTTGAGCTAGCGGCGCCTGGAGTTGTCCGTACTTAAAGATACCTAAGAAACATATATATCTCTTAACTAGCTCATAATCACCATCACCGTTCCCCATCGCTACCTTAATTTACGGTCAATTTTTTTTTTAGCTTTTGATACTCTTCCCCTAGACTTATTAAATGTACTTAGTGATATGTGATAAGTGTATTATTGTTCCGCAGTTGATAAATATGTGTATATTATATTATATTATATTATATTATATATAAAAAAAAAAAAGTAAAAAGAGTTCGTATTTGTAGTTAATACATATCTTGTAAGGTGATTGTATGCAAATACACAAGAATGTATAAGAAATCTGTACTTTTCTGTACTGAAGGAAATTGAGGTAATGATCTGGGTTTGATGCCCCTCATTTTAAGATATCATATAAGATAAAGGTATTGTCACTAGTATTTTTTTTGAATATATATAAGTAATATCAATGTTAGTGTTTCCCTGAAGAATTTTTTTTTTTTAATATATATAAGTAATATCAATGTTAGTGTTGTTCCCTTGAAGAATGCATTCAAGGGTTAGTTCAGCGTTTATCAACCAAGTACCAATTAAGATATCTCGTCGGAGCAAATAAATAATAACTCCAGTCTGTTTTATTTTTGATAAATGTACTTTTGTTGACATGCCTTATCTTGATTCTGTTTCTTCCTATATTATGAGATTATTTGCATTTAATTAACTTGCTATTTACCCGATGTTTTCCATTTTAATTTCTATAAAATCAAAGCAGATAGGTTATCTACCTTTTCATATTTCTCTTTGATTTATTTTTAATAGGTTTTAAATATAGATTCTTTGCAATGGATAAAATAATAATAAAGAAACTCTTGCCAATAGATACATTTACTTCTGCATGTAAAGCGTAATTATAAACGCATAAATAAATATACAAATGGCTGCTGTATCTATTTCTTAGTTTCCACTGCATGCTTAATTATAAATTTAATATCGTTGAAATGCTGAATAAATGATTTTATTATTGTTGCTACCGACGATAATAACACAAAAGCGTTTTTAATTACATAAAATAGGGTGGTTAGTTGTGATGGGAGCTGCCCCCAAAAATATGCTTCATAATTAAAATATTCGACAGCTTGTGCATATTAATGAACTCTCAATTATGGATAGTGAATGCCATTAAATTTGGAAAATTTAATATAATATACACTATGCGCATATTTAAAATCGCATTTTTTGTTTGCAATTTTAATTTATTTCTGATAGAAAGAACTCTATAAAATTGTAGCATCTTTTGGGGCTAAAGAAAAAATGGCTTGCAAAATGGGACATCTTTTAGGATATTATTAAAATGAGCAGATGATTAAATTAATTTAATGACCTTTTAAGAACAGAACACTTAAAATCAAAATAAATCTAAAAACCGACCAAGAACTTAAATTTCTATTTTTAAATTAAATTATAGTGTTAAATATGTAGAAAATATTTTATTTATTTCTTGTTTATCAATAGAATTTATAAAATTTGTTAAATAATTAGGAATATCATTACGTAGCAGCAGATTTTTTTGCATTTAACATAGGTTTTGTTTCCCTCATAAATATTTCTTTTGAAATTTTAACTATTTTTGATCCCAGATTCCATGACGTTCCATAGCCTGACTCAGTTTTATATATGTATATATTCCTTGGTTCCTACTAATTTTCTGCCCAGCACCGTGTTTTATAACATCCGCCAACCCAGCCGATTCTAAAATTCGAATAGGAGGCTTATCTTTTGCGCTGGGGGCAGGTCTTTTATGCCTCCTCGTTCCCAAATGCTCATATTCCCGATTATATGGCCGTGTCATGATCCTCGTCACTTGAACGAGAAAGAAACTGCTGTTGCCGTTGTTTTATTTGTGGGTCGACACACCCACATTGGTCTTTGTACCCGAGTGGCAAGAATCGAAATGAAAAATGCCAAATGCCAAATTCCAAATAAAATGTGTGCCGTTCTTATCGACAAATTGTAAATGTCGCAATCGAATTGCAGAACCTGAATTCGAGTTCTGACCACTCCAGATGTTAGAGAGTAAAGGTTTCTTCCAATCTTTATTGGTATCCAAGTTCTAGACTAAAAATATATCAAATTACAGTGGATCCGGGCGATTTAGATGCTTTCAATTAAAAGTTTTTAAAAGTTAATTAGGAAACAAATTTGAGAGATAGGATGGGTTATCCATAGGAGCATCAGAAAGAAAAATATGTATTAACTTTCAAGATTATTTTTAGCACTTCAAGTTGATAATCTGGCACAAAAGGAAAAAAAACAGATCCGAGATTTCGAAATTAAATAATCCCCAACTAAGCACCAGAGAACCTTTCACTTTGCGCGTAATCCTCGATCTGGTCTCATGCGTCACGGGTTCCGACGACCTTGGAGTGTAATGCTAACCACCGGTGGGTGATGGTGATAGGTTGATATATGGGACTTGGCCAGAGGCGGATTCCCTGTCCCGTTCCAGTTTCAGTTCCAGTGACAAGCTGTCATCAACATCAGGCCGAAGCCAAGGGCTTAGCACGCCCATCACTTGCCGGCCAACTATGCGCATTTCCTGTACGTAACGCGTCTTCTGGGGAGGCATAAGACGTACAGTGGGCCTACTTACACTAAAACCATACCAAAATGTTGAGTAGGCATTGTAAAACATTAATCTTTCGATGCCTTCTATATGATTCTCAAAGAAATTGGTATTATAAAGAGCATAACACAGTCATTTTAATGACCAGAACACGCATTTTTCAACTACCTTGTATTTTTTAATTATTTTTAAAATTTAGTACAGCTATTCACAGAATATTTATATATATTTATAATATATTTATTCTTGAATATGACCAGAACCCGCATTTCCCAACTACTTTTTATTATTTTTCATTATTTTTAAAATTTAGTATAGCTAATCACATAATATTTAAATTTTTGTTTATAATATATTTTATCTTAAATAGTCACAGTCACTTTAATGACCAGAACCCGCATTTCCCAACTACCTTGAACGTTTTTTAATTTTTTTTAGAGTTTAGTACAGCTAATGACAAAATAGTTCTCAGGCAAGGTGACTGTAGCTCCATTAAAGCATTCAAGAGTTAAAAATAACAAATATGGAGGCCATGCTCCACTAATTATGAAAATGTTTTTTGCCAATTAATAAAAAAATGACATTTCGTTCCACTGTAGCGCCGGTCGATGGCAAAATCAAATTCTAATCGCCGCCGCTATCATAATGTATTTATGAGTTGTGTTATTTGTTTTATATTTTTTTTTTTATTCGCGCGCTCCGTGCGTATACGTAATGCACTCAGTATGGAGATATACTTGGATGTATGTGTGCGTGTGCTCTGATGTCCATGTGGACACACATGATGTAAGTATGTATGTACATATGTACATACCTATATTTGCCCCTGATAATCGGGGGCCTGCGACGACAAAACTAATTACAACAACACTAAAAGCAAATACAGTGGTAACACAAAAAATAATTCCAATTCCCTTATCAAAACAGCAATAGAACGGAATAAAAGCAACAATAACAACAACAAATGCAAACAGAGTCAAAAAACAAAAAAAAAAAAAAAATGAAAAGGCAGCGCACGCAAGAAGAAGAAAGAGCAGGAGCAACGGTAAAGCTAAAGCTAAAAGACCAAAATAACACGCACACTGAGACAAAGTAGAGTAGAAATAAGTGAGCAAGTATCGTTGTGTGCAAGTGTGTGCGTTGTGTTTGGGTGTTTAATACTATAATTCACAAAATTGTTCAGTTCAGTTCGCGCTGGTGAACGTAACGGAAAAGTCGTCGCCTGTTGAATATATATAAACATTTATATATATATTCTATTTACTTGACTCGCCGCCTCGTCTCGTTTTTATTTCTTTTTTTTTTTTGGTTTTGTTATTGTTTTGTATCTCAACATTACTACAGCATAACAACAACAACGCGAGAGAACAACAACAAACGGAGAGGAGGAAAAATCATTTACAAAAATAAAACGTACGGCCCAAATACATAAAAATATATATAAAATAGATGTGTGTGTGTGTGTGTGTGAGTTAACATTTGTATTTAAGTTTAGTAGCAATTAGCACTAGAGCAAACTAAATGATATTTTTTCTCTCGAAGCGCGCGCTTTCCTCGAGACACGTGCACCGCACATAAAATATAATAGACCGTATGTACACAATTGGTAATATCAGAAAAAAAAAAAAAGCGGTCGAGAGAGAAACCCATATTAATTTCGAGACAACGCTACAGATTTCGAAGCAAGTTTTCCAAAAATCCAGAAATATTGGTAATTATAATACCAAAAGAAAAAAAAAATAAGGTTGAGAGAGAAACCCAATTCGATTTGACAATTCTACAAATTTCAAAACAATTCAAAGTTTTTACAAAATCCAGAGATCAACCATTTAATAATTATTATCATAGAAATAGCGAACGAGAAACGTATTTCAATTTCAAGACAATTCAACAAATTTCAAATCAATTTTTAAAAAAATCCAGAAATTATTGTGAAATAGGTCTAACCTATAGAAAAAGTCACTACATCACTATTACCGGTAAAAATTAAAGCGGTGGAGTAAAAGATAAGCAAATTAGTCTTTAAAATATATGAGAAGGAGAAGGTCTTCATATTTCAAATAGTTCCCAACTTATCTAATCAAAGTCGGTAGTAAATTAAACTAGTTTATTATAAATATAAATCTAACAAAACACTTGTACGAACCTCATATGAGTATTTTAAAAATGTTTTCAACTCGAAAATTCACCTTTTGGAATTTGAAAACAAACAAAAATAATATATGAATTCAAATATTTCGCGCATTTAATTTGTTTTGTATTCCAAAAATAGTCGTCTGCCCATTGTGAAATTGTGACACATTCGGGGGAGGTGTTTTTCGGGATTCGAAACCGTATATTTTGAGTGTTACGTCTAATTTCGATATAGGTGCATACGTGATGTTCTCATATGCCCATCAATCAGACATCAATCAAAGTCGCTTTTCCTCTCTCAAACGGAGCGATTACGGTTTATAGAACCACAAAACCGCGTTCGAAAAAGGTTCCACGTACAGTGGCTACCAAAAAGCAGTCTACCGGCTGTAAATGTTTTTATGATGGGATGGGATCATCATCATCTTTGTTTGGCCAATGCAAATATTCTTTTATGGTGTGTGAATTGTGAATTGTTTGGGCCAAAATAAAATGACGGAGGGTAACGGAACTCGTCGTCATATAATGCGGAAAGCTCTAATTATACAAATGTTTGTTTTTAGCTTTAGACGGCTTGATCGTCTTAAACGTCTAATAACGACAACGAGACGTCGCGTGTTAATCAAACACTTAAGGGCATTAATATACATACAGCCTGTATTTTTTTTAGTTCTTCAATGGCCTTTCCCCCAAAACTCTAATCTTTGAATTTATAGTTGCGCGAAATATACCCATGTATTAAAAAGATCTAAGAGTTATCAAACTTCCTTGTGAGCTAATCGAACGGATGGGAAGATCAGGAAACAAAAACTAATCAACGGTCAAAGTTTACTCAATCAACTTATTCACGATCTATAAATATTTTAACTGTATTATCAATTGATTGGACTTTCTATGAACTAACAGCTGTTCTGATCTGATATTTCAGTTTGTCCACTAAATATCAGTTATATCTTTTTGGTTCTAAAGCACCCAGTCCTTTATATAATGAAAAGTATTTCATAATATTTAATAATTAAAGTAAGATTAAATAACATTTGTAATCAGCTAAATTAAAAAATGGTTCCCAAGATCAATTATCAATATCTTCCAAGAAATCCAGTTTTTAGTCTTAGTAATTAAATTATCATATTTAGTTATGTGTAAATATCATATCCAAATAATAAGATTTGGCGCTTTAAATTATAGATACTGTTTCTTAAGAGCCCTGTTAGAGCTGGGGCTCATCACATGTGTCTTGTCGTCCGGTTCTTATTGCCAATTCTCGCCATGTGCTCGCTGATCGATGGGTGGTGGTTCGATCATTGGATGACATTGAAAAATTCCACACAGTTGTTGGCCAGGCCATAACCATATCCATTTCCAGGCCTTTCGTTTTGTCGATAACGAAAAAAAAAGCCGATTCACTTGGACTGAGAACCGAGGAGGTCAATTAGGGGCCCATTACTATATCGAACCGAACCGAAACTGCGATGATAAGCGAGTCAAAAGTCTGCCTGCAACCCACTGTGTTTAGCATATGTTCGTTGTCGTGTATGTTGTTTTGCTGATTGCCCGGCAATTAAAACACTGTAAAATTGATATTTGAGCAGCTCGTTTAATGGCCAAGCGCGCTAGTTCTGTGTAGCCCGACCTTTAGTACAAACCGTTTTTCCGTTTCCCCTATTATACTAGTAGTATATCGCATATAAAGCGAACTTTGCTAGCGAATCTTATCTTCTGCCCACAGCCCATACACCCCTCATCCTGCCCCCACATACATATATTTATATTTGCAGTGGTCATTCCGCGGTTCGGTTCGATGTGGTTCGGTTCAGCTGCTGGAGTGGTCGCAAAATATCAACAACTTTTCACCAAAGTCAATTAGAAGCCAGTCGGAGTCCGATAAAGCAAGTAAGCAGGATAGTTAGCGGGCCATGAGGCACTCGGAAAAATTAGTTAGCTTAAAGAAAGTAAAAAACATAATCCTAGCTGGGTTACAGTAGCGTAAATTGCCACCTATATTCTTTATTTTAAAATAGTAGCTTAAAAACTATAGAATTTTTATAATACAATAGACAGAAAACCAATTTCGATTTAAATTTTGGGTTTTTTTCATATCAATAATAAAAAAACGATTTGATTTATGTCGAGTTTATGATTCAAACATATCAATTTAATATTGTATCATATCATATAAAATACCAAATTCAGTATTTTTGAACAAATAATGTAAAATAAGATGAACATAATCTTTAATCATATCAAACTGATATTTAAAAAGTATACATTTGACCAGCACTATTAATCTATTATCTTTGTCAATTTTTTTACGTATATAATGTTTTCTTCAGAACTTAATAAAAAAAAAATTCACAAAATTCCTTAACAATATAATATGGGGGTAAAAACAAACGGAAAGAAGAGCCTGCAACCAAAATTACATAAATGACATAAAAATCTAAAAAGAAAAGCCTAAATTCGGAAACAATATATATTAAAGTATGTGATGATTTTCGCACAAGTATTTTCTTGGGAAACGGCCAAGCACACTTTTTTTTCAGTGCAGTGATTCCGCCGATTGATTGGTTTGAAAACCTTTTCGGCTGCTATAACCTTGTGCTGCGGATATAACGATTGGGCAACAATATAATTAGGCGATATCGTTAGGCGAAGGAGTGCGCCTTATCACATGGGCCGCCGCATTCCCGTTCCCCGAATGATCTCACATAAAAACCCATGCCGCCAGGCCCTGACATATATATCTCGATGATTCGGTGTCTTTGTCGCGTCGTCGTCGTCGGCACAAGTATTTACACGATGAACACTCATTTCTGGTCAGCAAACTCTCGGATACGAAAATTCCGATTCAAAAAAAGAAGCAAATAAAAAATAAAGTTCGTAACTTTGCTCTCTGAAATGAAATTGCGGGCGCGATAAGGCGGCGGCGCTCTCTCGGCCGATCATCATCATCATCAACAATCGAACCCATTGACGTTAAATGCGTTGTTGTTAGTGTTTTTATATAATGGGTGCTAAATCGGTATTATTTACTTAGTTGTTGCTTTTTGGCAGTCACGTTTCCAGGCTCAAAAATATCTCCCGCCCGCCTTCGAAAAGAAAAAATTAGTGAGAGTTGCCCAAAATATCACTGGGCTGATCGGTCAGTTGAGGTTGAGGCTTTCGCCCCGCCGTCTCGCGTTGCTCTGATAAAAAAAAAAAAAATATTTAAAAAAAAACATCAAATCAATTGAGCCGTAAACGGTTGTCTGCTCTGTGTGTGCAAATCAATTCACTCAGAGTTCAAATATTGGTTTGTTTTCCATCTTTTTTATTTATTCTGGGTCGTTCGAATACTGTGTGTGTACTACATGTGTGCCCAACTTGTAGGGTTAAAATTACAGAGGTAATTACATTCTGTATTAAATATTCCATCAATCAAGAAAATATTAATAAAATCAAGGTTTTAAATATTTTTTTTCTTGTGAAAAGTAATATATGTAAATAAAACGACAGGTATTTTTCATAATGCCTTGCAATGATGAAATATTCAAAAGTGACTAATGGTGACAGTTATAATGTTTGTTCCATTTTAAAAGCTCTCAAATTGGACAAGTAAATAACCGGAAGTTAAAACGAAAAAAAATGTATAATAGAGAATCCCGAATAGAAAATAAACCTTACTTAACCCAGAAAAATATACAAATATGTTTTATAAGACGGTGTACAAAAAATCAAATGGATATGCGCAGGTTAATTTAATATATTTTTAAGATCTAGATTATCTTTAACATATTTTATATTATTTGTTAAAAAAGATGTACTAGATTTCATATTTTAAAGTGTTATATTTATAATTTTTTTGATATGATAAAATAACTAATTGATAAGTTTGAATCATAAATTTTACAGCAATCATATCGATTTGTTATTGATATGAAATAAAATAGAATTTATTTGTTTTTCTGTGTATTAGATAAAACCCCTTTTTTGCGAACAACAAAAATCTGTTTAATGAGATTAAAAAAATAATTCATCGAATTAACTTTGTTGTGGCAAACAATTGTCTGACTAATTAGATTTGTGTTTCGAACAATTTCGTTTTGGTTTAAATATATACTTAAATTAGATATAATTGTGATAAATAAACTTTTATTAAAAAACAAATAATCAATATTTTCAGAGCTGCCATCGTCTAGTAATGCAACAACCGGTCAAAAAGCCCTCAGCGCTAAACTAACCCAAGTCCCAACCCAATCCCCTCCTCCCCTTAACCCAAATTCTGGTCCAATAATAATTCCAAGATGACCGACAATGGAAACCATTATAATAACAACAACAGCAGCAGCAACAATAACAACAACAATGAGGCATCCAGACTGAGATTACCCGAGGAAGCTGAGCAGCAGCAGGCAGCAGAGCAGCTGCTCCCGAAGAATGGATCATCAGGGGGCGGCGGTGGTCATCAGGCCAAGATAGCGCCTCCTTCATATTCCCAAATCCAAAACCAAAATCAAACCCATTCCAATGCCGAATCCCAGCCAGCAGTGCCAGCGAAAGGATCATCGCATCCGGTGAAAAAGAGGCGAGACAAGAGCGATCTGGGCGAAGATTTTGTGGCGCCCGACGGTGGATGGGGATGGCTGGTGTCCGTCGCCAGTGGCGTTAATATTGTAAGAAGGCATTTTATTAAAATCTTATTAAATTTATAAACATATAAACCTTTCCCTCTTCAGCTGGTGACGTTCGCATTGGCCCAGCAATTCGGCATCCTGTTCCGCGATCGTATGGCGGCTCTAGGAATCTCCAGCTCCGAACTGACCACCATCATCAACACACAGATCGCAGTGTCTGCATTTACGGGTGAGATGAGGAGGCAGTGGTTAATAATTCATAAAATACCCATAAGTTATGAAGTGGGTTTAGTATAAAGTCGTTAAAATTCATGCAATTTACATAGTGACGAATTGCAACGATGGTCTGGTATATATAATAGCTGAATTGAAAATCTGACAAGATAATCCAATCGGAATTAGCGGAGGGAGCATTTTTTGTCATCACAATATTTTTTATGGGAAGTGCGATCGTCACTACTTTTTTTTTAGCTTGTTGAGAGGTGCTTTAATTTGATTTATTTTTTTTCATGTAGTATTTATAGCAGAATAAGTCACAAAATTTGGTTAACGTAATGGTTTTTGATAAATATGAAATTTGGTAAAATTCTTAAATTTTAAAGTACAGTTTAAGTTTTAAAAATGTATGGAAGCTCAGAGCTTTTAGCCTACTTTAAATTTAAAAAGCGCATGTTAAATTTGAAGTAGTTTTTAAATTTAAAAAATGTTTGTGAGTTCACAGCTTGAAGCTTACTTTAAATTTAAAAAAAGCATGTTAAATTTAAAGTGACGTTTAAACCTTGATAACTTTAAATTTAAAAAAGCGCATTTTATGTTTAAAGTAACTTTTAAACCTTGAAAATGTATGGTAATTCACAGCTCTTTCCTTTTTAATTAACAACTAATTATACTTCCTTTATCCAAAGGTCTGCTCAACGGCCCGCTCTTCCGCCGCTACACCTATCGAGTGGTGGCCCTTTTCGGATCCGTCCTTACCTTCTTGGGCCTCTTCTGGATGGTCTTCGCCGACACCTTCACCATCTACATACTGAGCTTCTCGATCCTGTACGGTTTCGGCCGCGGCCTCACGGTATCCGCCTCCTCGCTGGCGGTCAATACGTACTTCAAGACGAAGCGACGCACGGCGACGGCCTTTCAGTTTGGCGTCGCAGGACTGGGACCGATTGTGTGTCCCTACTTTGCCACCTACATGCTGACCTCGTACGGTGTCCAGGGCACCACACTGCTCTTCGCCGGCGCCTCGCTGCACACGATCGCCTGTTCGCTGATCTACCAGCCGGTCAAGTGGCATGTGGTTAAGCGGGATCCCGATGCGGAGGCACTGCAGCAGGTTCAACCGTCTCTCGCGGAGCGCGAGGATCAGGACGAGGATATCATCAAGAATGTGGTGGAGCCGGAAACCCCTGTGCTCCCGCGAGCCAATGATGGTTGGTTCGGCTCGAGGGCCTCGCTGAACAGCGTGGGCACTCGCAATCGTCTGAATACGTGGGAGAAATCCGATGGCAATGGTCATGTGGAGCTCAAGCGTCTGAGCAGCCGGGATTCGGCGAATCCGGGGCGACAGCTGCGCAGCATTTCGGTGAGTCACAGCATCAAGGAGGAGGAGGCCTTGGGCTATCATTCGGATAATGATGAAAAAGGCCATCACGTCCATCATGTCGCCGCCGAGCTGAGCGAGAAGGAGAAACAGGAGCTGGAGGACGAGGAGGAGCGCCAGCGACGCAAGAAGCTGCCATTCTACATGAAAGTGGTGATCTTCTTCGACATGGACCTGCTGCGGGACATCACATATGTCAATCTCGCGGTGGGTATAACGCTGATCAACTTTGTGGAGGTGAACTTTGCCATCCTGACACCCTTCATCCTGTCCGATCTGGGCTTTAATAAGGAGCAGATTGCTTTGGCCATGTCCACGCTAGGATTCTTCGATCTGGTCGTGCGATTCCTCATACCGCTGATCACGGCGAAGATAAATCTAAGCAATCGCACCTTCTTCGTGGTGGGCATTTTGGGTATGTGCGTGGGCCGCATGTTCCTCTCGATGACCCGCAACTTTTACGTCATGATGGCCATCTTCCTCTGGCTGGGCTTGAACAAGGCCTTCCGCACGGTCTTCTGGTCTCTGATCATTCCCGGCTATGTGCCGCTTAAGCGCTTGCCAGCGGCTGCTGGTCTACAGCTGCTCATGTCCGGCACCTTTTCGATGATTTTCGGTCCGCTGATTGGTGAGTTGGAATACTAGTAGATGCACTGATAAAAGATAACCTAGTAAATCCAACGATTTTTTCGATATTTTTCAAAGGTTGATGTTTTTCGGAGAAATAGACAATTTTCTTACATTTTAAATTATAACCTTTGAGATTTCAATCGATTTTATCGATACAATATTCTGGGAATACCGATAATTTCGATATTTTTCAAGCGCTATTTTATATTTAATTTAAATATTCTTCCCTCTTATATATCCATTGCTTTTTTGTGTTTCTTTAAATTTTTAATTCAACAATTTTACATTTAACAATTATAGTTAATTTAAATATTTTCAACATTGATTTAAATAGGACATTTTTTTTTTATCGACGTAAAATCTTAGAAGTAAATGACTTCAATATTTTATTTAACAATTATAGTTAATTTAAGTATTTTAAACATTGCTTTAAATATAAAATTCTTGTTTTAACATCGAATCTAATATTTTCGAACTTGATTCAAATATTTTCAATAATAATCATGCAATATAATATGATTGGTATTTAGTATTCTTTTTATCAGTGTATATTCCAATAATAATACATATAATATAATAATATGTAATATTTATGAAATTTCTCATCCCAAATTCAGGTCTTATCCGGGATCACACCAGCTATGCCGTGACCCTCAACCTGTTGAATGCCCTTTGCGTGATGGCCTTCGCCGGCTGGTATCTGGAGGACTTCATCCGCGCCCGCAGCCGAAAATCGCAACCAGTGAAGACAATCGACAACTGATGATCAGCCGCCGATCCAAAACAATAGTTGACCAAATAGTTGAACTCAGTGCCAGCAATTCCAAGACCAACAACTCCGTTCCCCCCAAATCCATCCTAACTTTAGCAAAATGTTATTCTTGTTATCGCATTTGCCCAGTGCCTTTTTTTTTAATCTAAACTATACCCTTATGTAAACTACATATATTCTGCGTGTACATTGTGTATATACTATTCGAGTGTAGTAAATTAATTGTATTAAATATCGATAATTGTTAATTAATATGCATAAGCTGCCAAAACTTACAATTTACATCGAGTGTTTTATTGGTTTGGGTTGAGAGGGGATAAAGTTAAGATAAAATCAAATTAAAATAAAATAAGATTAACAAAATAACAGAATAATAAAATAACTCTAGTGACATTTATGGCAGTTTCAATAAAATATGGGTTCCTAATTTAAACTGTTTTTAATGGCATTTTTATTACTTTAAAAATAGGTACTTAAACAAAAATAATAAAGATAATGCTCTTTAATAATATTAAATGTGTATTCAAAATTATTGATATCTTTTTAGGATCTTTTTTGTGTTGTGTGGTTGAAAAACCAAAATTTCTTTTGAAATATTAATAATAGTACTATAGAATTTTCAATAGAAAGAATACTAATACATAATTATCTTCAAAATACTGATATAGATTACACTAGTTTACAAAATAATATTCTTGGTGTGCTCCCCAGCAATTGATGGCAAATTCTGTCAGTGTTGGACCCCTAGATCACGAAAATACCATTAATTTTTTTTTCGATGGCACAGTTTTTTTTTAAAGATTTTTTAAAGTTCAAAATGTTAAATTTCTGACTTTTTTCGAATTTCTTCTTATATCTCGGCAGATATCAACCCGATTGGGCTAGTTTTAGTTTTATTTTAAAGTCAATAGATCAGAGCTCAACTTTGCCATACAGATCAATATGATTGGATAAGTAATGGCAGCGCAGAAGCTCGACAAAGATGAAAAATGTGTTTTTTGGCCGACTGTAAGTCGGCTGTATATATCGTGAAAACTCGAAATAAATCCGTTGAAAAATCATAATGGGCTCCAACTTAAAGTTTACATCCTACCAAATAAAACAAGCCGGGTATGGCCCAAATTATTGGAAAATTGGATTTATGGTGGATTTTTAAAGTTAGGATTTTTCCACATCTTTTGATCGACAGATTTCAAATTTAAGTTTTATCGTAGGCGGCGACATGTACACAAAAATTAGTGGCGATGGCAGCCGGGTCAAAAAAAAACTAAATCAGATATTTAATAGCTAAAAAATTACAAAAGTGAATTTAATATTTGAAATTTATTAATTATCCAAATGGATCTTACTTATTAAAAATACTTACAGTCATAACGCAAGCGATTTTATATTTTTTTAGGAATTTGTAGAAATTAAATTCATTTATATATTTTTCTAGCTTTTAAATTTAGCTATTTTTTGACCCCGTTGCCGTCACCACTCATTTATGTTTACATGTCGCCGCCTATGATAAATCTTAAATTTGGACTCTGTCAACCGAAAAAAGTGGAAAAATCCAAACTTTAAAAATCCACCATAAATCCAGTTTTCTATGGATTTGGGCCATATCCGGCTTGTTTTATTTGGTAGGATGTAAACTTTTAGTTTGTACCCATTATGATTTTTCAACGGATTTATTTCGAGTTTTTACGATATATACAGCCGACTTACAGTCGACCAAAAAACACATTTTTCACCTTTGTCAAGCTTCTGCGCTGCCATTACTAATCCAATCATAATGATCTGTATGGCAAAGATAAGCTCTGATCTATTGACTTTAAAATAAAACTAAAACTGGCCCAATCGGGTGGATATCTGCCGGGATATAAGAAGAAATTCGAAAAAAGTCCGAAATTTAACATTTTGAACTTTAAAAAATCTTTAAAAAAAAACTGTGCCATCAAAAAAAAAATTAATGGTATTTTCGTGATCTAGGGGTCCAACACTGACAGAATTTGCCATCAATTGCTGGGGAGCATTTTGGCTGTAAACTAGTGTTATTTAGCTTTGCAAACTTCTGAGTGAAAAAGTTCTTATTTGGAATGTTAAACGATCCGTTTCTTCATCATTATTGTGCATGATCTCATCTCTTGTGATGCAGCAATAAAGTCTAATCAAAATTTGTTCGACCATCAGTCCCGGCAGAATCCAAAGTTCGAAATCTAACAAGAATCTTGTGACTTTGCGGAAGAATTGGGGGACGCGGGACGGGATGAACGGAAAGGAGCACGTGAATATCACGAGTAAACCAGCCAACCAACTCATCACAACATCAATATCAACGATCAATGACACTGAAATTGGAAGCGGAAAAAATTGAACAAACATTGGCCGCCAGTTGAGTTCAGGGAATTTATTTTCACTTTGGTCTGATGCAATTTTTTGTTTGCTTTATATTCCAATGAACCGGGGTTTTTATGTAACATAATATTGAAGAAAAATATACATTTAATGATATGATTTTGTTGAAGCTAAGGATTCCCCATGTTTAAAATTATTATCTGATAGCTTCTCTAATGACGTAATCTTTATTTCTGAGCACTGCATTTGCTCACATTTTTTTGCTCGACTTCTGAAGGTTTGTGATAAGCGCTCAGCCGTTCCCTTTTATTATTTTTAAAGTGCAACTTGTCGTAGAAACAGCAATGAAACACAGCTATCAATGCAAAACGACTGCACATTCCCCTTTAGATTAATCACCGCTTCGACAAAAAATAAAACAAATGTGCAAATTAGGCGAGCTAAAGAATAAACCAGTTCCCAGAGTGACGACAAAACAGCTGCGATAAAGCAGTAAATGGGTTATGAACTGAAAATACAAAATACAAATAAGTAAAAAGTAACTCTCCCAGCGGAAAGTTACAAGATCAAAAAAATGATTTCAAAACAATGTTACGATGCGATTATTCAGGTTCAATGCACCTGGGCAGCAGTCTATTTGATAAGAATATAGCATATCAAACGCCTGAAAATATCTGCCGAAAGCAGGCATCCAGCAAACAGGAAGCTCTCTTTCTCTCTCCGTCAACCCAATGCTAAATAAATTTGTCGCAGTTGGTTTTGTTACACTACTGTCAACAACATCAGCGGAACTAAATGGGGAAAAAAGAGGAAAGCACAGCGAAACATTCAACTTGAACAATCCATTCCGAATATTAAATACCCGGTAGTAACATTTTTAAATAAAGAAAAAACGTATTCCAATGTGCAAGGATATATCTTTAGCATCTCTCCTAATCTGGTATTATTATTTGGTTTATATAAATAAAATATACAATTTTTATTTTATATAAAAAATAATTTAATAATATATTAAAATATTATTCATTATTTAAGGGTGTTTCAGAGTTCTATCTTTGAGATTATGGCTAGTAATCCTTCCAACGCACTCTACACCACATATCCTGGTTCAGGACAGATAAAGGAAGAGGCACACACACACACATAAAATCACCCACTTATGGACATCCATTAGGAGTGGGTGGCGTAACCAACTGAGCAACAAGTTGGAACAGGAAGGAAACAACAAAAACAGAACCCACTGCCACAGTGCTGCCATTCTATCCATTTAATTGCTATTATAATATCACTCCTTTTAATAGCAATATTAATATTTACCAAAGATATTTCTATAAGGAATTCAGCTTTTTTAATAATAATTATTACAAATTAATTGGATGAATGGGATCGAGTCAATATAAGTATTGTGTTAGTTGACATAAAATAAACTGGGGTGGTTCGGCCGTTTCTGTGGCTTTAATTGTGAGTTGGTGACAACATCTTACCGCAGTAAAAGGCTAGTTTAGTAAATCAACAATCTGTTGCCGGCAGAGTGTCAGCTTTAAGTACTCGCATGCAAATCCCACGTGGTTGTGTGCGGTGTCATTGCCCCACTTCCTCCCTATCTTTTTAGAGACCAACAATTATCGATTCTTTGTCAAACTTGTACGACAGTGCTGCAGATTCAGATTCAGCTATTATCTCAGATATTAAATCCTTAACTTAAAATATCGAATACAATTTTGCCACAACTTATTATAACATTCCAATATGACATAATTTGTTGATTTTTTTTCTTTTTAGTTTTTAGAGGAAAAATTTGTAGAATATTGCATTTATAGTACCGTATGTAAATTTTTTCTGGTTTAATTTTTAACTGTTTGTAAAGCAATCATCTAAAATCTTGTGCTTAAAAAGTATGCTACAAAAATCGTATTTTTAAAACCTCCACGAACATAATAAATTTAAAATTAAATATAACTATTATAATCTACCCAGTGTAAGGTTTAAAGCATAAAGTACCTAAAAAGTGTACCTATAGGTACAAGAGTCTGGGCTCACACCCACGAGGGCTCACTGTGAGCACACACACACGACGACGCAACAAGTTAACAGGAGAGAAGGGAGAGAGCGAGATACGGAGAGTGGGAGAGCAAGACCATTTGCGCAACTGCAGCCGAGTCAAAAAAAAAAGGCCAAGTGAAGAACTCAAAGGGGAGCCAAAGAGAAGGAGGAGAGGAGAGCGTGCAAATGCAACGCAACAACTGCAGACAAAGAACGAATGTAAACAAAGAAGCAAGGCGCACTGTTTGTGGATTTTGGCAAGCAAAGTAAGCAACTTCTCTCGCTCTCTCCCTCTCCTCTCCCACTCTCTCTCTCTCTCTATCGACATTAGAACGCGATCTTGAAACACAGCCACACCAACAGCCCCCCACACACACACATGGACATCGTGGCGACTCTCTCTGGATGGAACGGCACTGGGGCACAGTGGGTTCCAAACAGCGAAATTTCGGTCAAATTCGGTAAGTTTCCTTTGGGCCAACTCTGATTCGCAGTCCTATGTGGATCTTCCTTCCTTTGCATCGTTAATACTTAGGATATCACAAGGATAAGCAGTCTACTTGATTACCATTCAGTTGGGAGGCTAAGAATAATAATCACCATACTGTAGACATTTTATAAAGAAGAGTCCCTGAGTTATAAAGGCAGCGATTTCGGTTTGGCATAAAAATTTAGAATAAAAAACCGAAATTTAGGACCTTGTGTAAGACATTACAAAGATTGTGTCATTGCTTGGGATGAAAAAACAAAACTATAACTAGGATCTGGCTCTCTGAAGAATCAGTTTAGGATAAAAATTTAGAATAGAAAACCATAATTCGTCATTAATTCATAGATGTTCGATAAGAAATATTTTACGTGTGGAAGGCTAGGACATTTAAAGATCACATAACATAGATAGAGGTATAAAACAGAACTATAACTGGGACATGACTCCTGGTTCTAGTCTAGTTACCGTCTATAAAGAAGTGCCCCTCATTTTCTGAAGAATCAGTATCGGCGACTTCGGTTTGGGATACAAATCTAGAATAGAAAATCGAAATTCGGAAATAATTCATAGATGTTCGTTATGAAATTTAACAAGAGAGAACGCTATAGTCGGGTTGTTGTCCCGACTATCTAATACCCGTCACTCAGCTAAAGGGAGTGCGAACGCTGTGTCGGGTTGGTGTCCCGACTAATAACCGTAACTCAGCTAAAGGGAGTGCGAGGGAGATAGATATATAATTTTTGATTGCGTATAACTTTTTAATGAATGGTCCGATTTTAAAAATGTCTTCTACATTTCGATAGGTATAAATATACACAACAAAATTGCATTTATACTTCTCGGAAATCTTTAAAGATGTGGGCGCAGGACCCATTTTAAAATCGTTAGTGGGCGATTGTGGGCGTTAGAGGGGGCGTGGCGCTCGGCTAAAATAAACTTGCGCTGCGTAGGAAGCCAAAGAATATGTGTGGGAAATCTCAACCTTCTAGCTTTTGTAGTTTCTGAGATCTCAGCGTTCATACAGACGGACAGACGGACAGACGGACAGACAGACAGACAGACAGACAGACAGACAGACAGACAGACAGACGGACAGACGGACAGACGGACATGGCTAGATCGACTCGGCTAGTGACCCTGATCAAGAATATGTATACTTTATGGGGTCGGAAACGCTTCCTTCTAGCTGTTACATACTTTTGCACGAATCTAGTATACCCTTTTACTCTACGAGTAACGGGTATAAAAATCACATTACACGGGTAGAGGTAAGAAACGGAACTATAACTAGTTCGGGTTCAAGTCTAGTTGCCCTCTATAAAGAAGTGACCCTTATTTTCTGAAAAATCAGTATACACCGATTATGGTTTGGGATAAAAATCTAGAATAAAAAACCGAAATTCGGAAATAATTCATAGAACTCATTATACATAAGTAAAAAACGGAACTATAACTGAGATCTGTTTCTGGTTCTAGCTAACTTTGTTCCACTGTACGACGACGGTAACGGCGACTGAGGCAGCGGCAGCGGCGGCGGCGGCAGTTAGGCCAGGGCACCAGAGCAGCGACGGGACGGCAACGGGCAAACGGCAAACGGTAGTGGCAGTCAGTATTCAGTATTCAGTTTTCAGTATTTCAGTATCGATTGAACAGCCGCGCGTAGCTCATCGAAACCGAGGAAGCGACGCGACGAGAGAGCGAGCGAGACAGCGGACAGGCGACGACGACAGGGTAAAGGAGAGGAAAGGGAGACGGAGACGGAAGCGGAGACGGAGACAGAGACGGAGACATTCGAGCGCCTGCCGCCCCCTCTTTTGTAATAAATAGCGCTGTGCGAGGCGACCACACTACCAAACGGCAAAAGTCCGCTGAGAGCGACGCAACGTAGGCCACAAAGGCCCGCCCCCCAAACTCCCCCCCGGTGGAAAGACACAACCAGAACAACAACACACACACTCCACCCCCTTTGACAAAAGGGAGAACAGAGTGAAACAGCTGGTACAGAAAATATAAAAACCCAAGCTGACCAAAACAAAAGCAGAAATTAGCAAATGACCAAAGGGAATTAAAAAAAAAAAGATAATAAACCCACAAAGTGCCTTATAAAAAAAAAACAACCCACCAGTTCAAAAAATTTCAGTGTGATAAGAAAATATCATAATAACCCAACTCAATCCCAAAAACATTTTCCGTCTTTTTTTGATTGTTTTTAAAGTTTTGTTTTTGTTTTGTAAAGTGCGTTGTTTCGAAAATCAAAGAAATGGAAAAATAATATAATTAACAAACCACACAACTGGCAGGCATAAATTAAGAAAATCGAAAAACACAAAACAAATCAAAAAAACCACAACAACGTAAAAAAGTATCCATAAATCTATATATACTACACCTCATATATAGAGAGACCTAAAATAAAACTAAAACAAAAACAAAGCAAGTCCAGGAAAGAAAAACAAAAAAAAAACAGCAGAAGCAGAAGAAAGAGCACAGAAGGAGAAACGAAGAACACAAAGACAGCAGAAGCAGAAGAAGAAGCAGAAATGGCAACCAAACAGCCCAGAAAAGTGGCCCCCGATGGCGGATGGGGATGGGTGGCTTGTTTTGGCGTTAGTTTGGTCAACGTAAGTTGTTACCCGATTAAATACTAGATTTACTAGACTCACAACCCTTTCCCCACCCAACAACACAACATTCCAATCAATTAGGGTAAATCCATGGCTAAACCTTTTATCCAAATTCAGAGCTACACAATATTCCCTTTTCGCCGCCTCACTTTCCGCATTTGCACTTAGGATAGGTTAGTTCCCAATACCCCATTTCATAGTTATTATATGGCTCGTGGTAAACTTGTTTTCATACATGGACGAACGATAAGATTCAAATGAAATATGACGAAATTCAATATGCTTCTGGTCCTACCCGCAATTTCCCGTGTTTACACACCGATTTATGGGGCTACCACCTGTAATGGGGCGGCACTTGGGCCAATTTCATTAATAATAAATTCCCTAATAGACGTGTTTAAACAAACTAACAACCAAACAAAAAAAAACAAAGGAAATAATAGGAAGGGCGATGTCGGGGGGCAAAAGGCATTGCATTTTATTAAATAAATGATAATTAACTAGCTGGTTATTAAACTATTTAAAAAGTACTTCATTATTTATGGTAATGAAGTTAAAAAATTGAGATTAAAATATATAATACCAAGACAAATTCATCTTGTTTGCAATAAAGTAGTTTGTTCTATCAATTGCGTTTTATAAGCTTTTACTATATAAAATATAGTAATATATTTAATTTTTTATCAGATTTTATATCGAAAACTCTCTTTAAATACGTTTAAAAAACTATTAAATCTTCTTGCCGAAACAGCTGCTTCCCAACTTCGAAAAGAACAGACAGAGGGATACTTATAGAGGGGGTGCAGTTAAAAGGAGACCACGATCATGGCCAAAGAGTTTTCTGTGGGTTCTCAGATCGCATCTGTCTGGCGGTCACGCACCCGCCGCGTGATCTCGAAAATGCGTCTCAACAGTGTTTTTTTTTTCTGTTTTGTTTTCAATTTCTGTAGTTGGCTCTGGCTCCTTATATGCCTACTACATACAACATTGTTTTCATTTAGTTTTATTTCGTGCCTCTTGTTGTTTTACTTTTGCAATCTCGCCTGAGGCCCCAGAGAGGTGATGGCAAACAAAAAAAAATTTGTATATAAATCAATTGGCACACTTTTTCGGATTTAATATCACAAAATTTTAAAAAATATATTTGGATTTTTCCCAAAACAAATAAACACTTACCTTGACACATTTTTAAAAGTTTTGCTGTCATCTTGATAAACATATTGTGAGTGCAGATTTTTAATAGTTTTTCTGTCTTCTTGATAAACATATTGTCAGTCCAGATCATCATTAATTAGGTGTCCCTGTTCGCATCTTTTATTTTATAATCACAACCCTAGGGAACAACAAAGACATGGTTAGTAAGTAGTAAAAACATATCTGCAATGTAAGGAGAATTGTATTTAGAAAGAAAAATGAGCTGAAAAAAATAAAATATTGATGGCATTGTAGGGTTTTTTTTAAAGGAGATTCCACCTGAAAAGAGTCCTATATTTTTTATATTTTATATGTAAATCACAGAAATTTCAGAAATATTTTTGAAATTTTCCCAAAAAAATAAACACTTACCTTGACACATTTTTTAAAATGTTGCTGTCATCTAAATTTTTAATCGTTTTTCTCTTTTTAATGGTTTTGCTGTATTCTTGATAATTATATTTATTGTCAGTCCAGATCATCATTAATTAGTTGTGCTGTTTCGGTTTTCTTATTTTATAATCACCCTAGGGAACAACAAAGATATTATTAGTACAGTGAAATCTGTAGTTGTAACTTGAGAATAATACATAAGAGGATTGCAAAACAGATCTGGAACTAAAGGAATGAAAATATTATAATTATAAGGTTCTTCAAAAAAGATTTTACCTGAAAAAAAATGTTTATATTTTTTAAATTTTATATGTATATCACAGAAATGTTAAAGAGATATTTCGAATTTTTTCAACCATAAAAACACTTACCTCGACACATTTTTAAAAGTTTTGCTGTCATCTTGATTTTTAATTGTTTTCCTGTTTTTAATAGTTTTGCTGTCTTCTTGATAAACATTTTATCCAGATTATCATTAATTTTGTGTACTGTTTCGCTTCTTTTATTTTATAATCACCCTAGGAAACAACAAAGATATTAGTACAGTGAATAATACATAAGAAGACTGCTAAAATAACATATCTGAAATTTAAGAAAAATCGTATTGAGGGAGAAATATGAACTGAAAGAAGAAAATTATAGATTATTTTTCTAAGGAGATTCCTGAAAAGAGTGAAATATTTGTTATTGTTATATTTGTTATTTCCTCCAATGCCACGAAATCAGATCATGTCAATTATGCAATAGTCCTAAAATTACCTTCCTTCCATTTTCCATACCAGCGAAACCCAAGCGACTTGGTAGTAAATGAGTCGAGACGATGTGCAATTATAAATGCTAATTTGTGTGTGGCCAAGCGAAGATCTCGAAAATTGACAGCATTACTTAGCCTAGCAGTTATGCGTACTCAGTGAGGAGACAATGATATGAGCATTATAGGTGCTTATATCATATCATCTGGGTGCCGTCGACGACTCTGAAAATAATCAACGGAACAGATGGGGGGATATGGTTAGGATGTGAGCACACATTGAGTGCCAATGCCTTGGTCATTGAAGCCAAATGCGTTGTGACAAGATTATTCGAGGGCAGTTTGATAACTTATTATGCGACTAAAATGGGAGATCTCTAAAATAAATGTATAAAATATCATAGGTTTCATATAAAAAATTCTTATATACCATTGAAATATTTCTACAATTTAATTTGCAAGTATCGTATGATGGTGTGATAGCTCCTCAACGATCCATCTTAGTCCACTTGTTATATTTATCGGCCAACCCATGATGACCTCCTCCAGCCAATCCCCACCCAACATTTGTTGCAACACAAAACAAAACACTAGAAACGCGCCATTTGCAAAACAAATCGAGTGTTTGGCACGGAATTTGCCTTTTGTATTTGGTATTTTAAAGAAAGAAACCACGACACTTGGGGATGTACTATATGAGAAATGATAGGTGGGGAAAAAAATTCATAAATTTCAAAATACTACCGTAAAGTTCGCACGACCTTCCCATAAACCCAAACAGGTGGGCCGCGAAAAAACAAAAATCATCTTTAATCATCTTCTAATCAGTCGATTAAAACTGTCCTGAATCATGGCCGTGCAAATATATCCCATGGAAACAAGATAGATAAGATATATTTGTGACCCACTTGGTCACACGACCAACTCTTATAGACTTCGACTCCGAAATCTCGAGTAGTTTGTGTTTTCGTACCACTCGTTGGTCTTGGTAGAAAATTTAAAACACTCGTAAAACTTAATTGATCCTCGGCACAATAGAATGAAAGGTGCATGTATATAAATATATAGCATATAGAGCGAAAACAAAATCGATCATCATCATCATCGAAAATCGAGAAAGGGGAGAAGAAATATTGGAATATTGGGGTTAGATTGCGACTGACTGATATGCCAATCACTCGATTATGTGTTCTCGCTTCGATTGATTATAGGTTAAGTTCGAACGACAACTAATCGCAATCGCAACTTTTGTTTGTTTTCGTTCCTATATATACGTTATATACAGCTATTTGACATTATCTTTTGGCCAGGCACACGTTTAATCGCTTTTAAATCATTTACGAGGCAAATTAGCACTTGAACCTTATACAACACGAAAAACCAATAGAGAAATATGTCCATAAACCATCATAAACAATACATTTTTCGAAGCTGGTGAAAAACAACATGAGTATGAGTATTGCAAGTCAAGTTGTTGCCATGTCTAGAGGACCTGGACCCCTGAAGAAGTTTATTTTTCTTCGTTTTCCATACAATCTAGCCGGAAGCATGACCGTAAAAACGTTACGAAATTTTTATTGTTCACTGATTTAAGAATATTCTTGCCGTAATGGTGACTTAAATTATTCATTTAAATGTAAATAATCAGCGGGAAAATGTCATAAGAAAATATAGGTATAAGGTGACATTTTCTTAAAATCAGATAACCTGAGGATCATCTAAAAATATCAACTGGAAATCAGTTAATTATAGAAGTATTGTAATAAAGGACTTATTAACCTAAAATACTCGAGTATTACGTATTTAATCGTCTGATTAATAGGATTAATATTATTTTTCCGAAATTTGCGTACATATTGAGTTCCTAGTCTGGGCGCATTGTTTAAAGACCTTATCAAAGAAGCAAAAAAGAAAAAAGAAACGCGTCGCGTCTGTCTGTCTGCAAGACCCTGGACAATGATAAAGAACCCAACTCGTCGACTATATAGTCAAATATCCGCGCAAACCAATTGGAAATTCGCTGGAAAGTGTTTACGTAAGGCCCCCAAAACAAAGAGCAGCCGCCGAACCCATTAGCAAAAGCACGTGACCGATAAAACCAACAGAGATAAAACTATGGAGACACATATAAGCAAAAAATAAACTCAAGATATATAAAATTCTATTTAGTCTCAACGGAATAATAATTAATTTTTCTAAGACAAAGAACGTTTTTTTCTATATATGATATATGTGCTTATCACTGCGATTAATCATTACTTATCATCGCCCTGTTTTAACTGCAATCAAAAGTGTAAATACGTATTTCAATTATTTACGTAGTCCATCCGATAAAAGCGTTATACGATGTGAAGGTTCAGTCAAATAAATAAATCAATTTAATATCTCAATTTAATTTTCGCCCCAAAATGACAAAAGGATATTTGTGTGTGGTGTTGTTATGCAAATAGTAGAAAAACAATGAGCAATTTAATTAAATTTTCTGCGAAACCATTGTTGGAAAAACTCAAAGGCAAAAAAAAAAACGCTGAGGGAAAATTATCTGAAATCCGTGGGTCAATTGATTGACTTTGCCACCCGTCAATTTTTATTTGATTGTGATTGATTTCCAAACGTGTTTTTTGTTCAAACATTGGCGACTACTGACTGCAAATAAAAT